ACGCCCAGGCCGGAGCCGCCCGCAGCCCCCGCCGGCCCAGCTGCCAGCCCTCATCATGCCTTGGCCGTTTTACAGAGTCCATCAAGAAGAGGGCCTGTCGGTACCTCCTGCAGAGGTACCTCGGTCACTTTCTGCAAGAGAAGCTGAGCCTGGAGCAGCTCAGCCTGGACCTGTACCAGGGCACCGGGTCCCTCACCCAGGTACCCCTGGACAAATGGGTAAGAGCTGCCAGCGGCCAGCGGGGCGGGACTCACTCCCTTCTTTAGGGCGATTTGAACGAGTGTTACCCCAGGTGACGTGGATTCAGTCCTTCTCTGGAAATTGTTAGGATCCAAGTGTGGCAGGGCTCAGAGAAATGTGTTGAAGTGTTGTTTAATCTGTTTCTAGCAAGTTTGCGCTTCCAAACCCACGTGTTCCAGAAACTTAACTGAGGTGATGGAATCTACACTGTGGGAATCAGCTGAGTCAGTGATTTGGGGGTCTGTGAAGCTGGCTGAAAGTGGTCGATGGAAGAAGATGATCAGTCTTGCCCCCTTGAGGATAGGAGGGGTCACCGGGTTCTGTGTAAACAAACCGTATTTCATGGGATGACACTCCGGAAAGATTAAGGATGAGGAGGAACTTTGGGGATGTCAGAATGCCTAGTTATTCGTTTATTTATTTTAGGTTGGTTACTTACACACTGCGGCCTCCGTACAGCCTTTGCAATCTAGAAGGTTAGGTGAAGGCCACGTCTGCCGGTTTGCCAGCTTTTGCTTGTTACGTTTTTAGGGCCAGCCGGTGAATGCATGTGTGACCCTAATTGTGCCTTTTGGTTATGCCTCTTTCCTTCATGTGACAAGTCGTAAAAAACAGGTGTTGCAATAAGCGCTGAAGCTGCAGTTTTCAAACGTTTAAAAACCTGTTTTCCACTTGTCATCCAGAGGTGGTGAATTGACTTCTTTTAACAGGTGCTTGGTGTGCAGTTTAACTCAACCACGTAGATCTGTACCTGCATTTCTGTGTTCAGTGCATCGTATTTTACTTCACGTGTATTCAGTCTTGAGTTTGACAAGAATGGAGTGGCTTTCCCACTTCCCCGAACTCCATATACATAAGCATGTAATTTTATCAGCAAGCAGATGACTTAAACCAGGGAGAATACACAGAATATTGGAAGAGCCCTGGTTTGAGTAGCAGAAAGACCCAGTCCCACCCCATGGTCACCCATTCTGCCACAGTTAGCCAATTGACACTGGACATAGTAATTCACCTGAGTTCAGTAAACATTAATGGAGGGTTCACTCCATGCCAGGCACTATGTCAGGGTACTGCATTGCTGTAATTCTTACCAGATTCTGATGGGTATTTTAAAATTCATTGGCCCGTAAGTTTATCCTTTCGGTAAAATTATGAATAGGCTGTCTTGAAGGAGGAGGGTTGGGCACTTATTAACAAGTCTTTTTTTGTTTCATATGACTTTGTATGCGTTATTCTTTAATTACTTTTCACATTAATCCTATAAGGTGGGTATTACTATTTCCATTTCACAGATGGCACTAAATAATTTGCCTCAAGTCACAAGGCTAGCAAGGGATATAGTGAGAATTCAAGCCCACCTAATTCTCTGAGCCTAATATTTCTTAATTAGTCACATGGCTTCAAGCGAAGGAAAGAGCAGTTAATGTAATTGAGCATTTGTTTATTTCAGGCACTGTCCTGGGCACTCTCATTTGTGTGCTTTTATTTAATCCTCATGGGAAATCCGAGGTGGTAATATTTGAATTATACAGTTTGACTTCAGGATCATTGGAAGAATAACTTAGGGGTGGACTTAATCTAAGGTTATGTTTTGTTCTGCTCCTTGAAGATGAGGAATATGCCCAACCAAAATGATAATGTCGAATCATCCAGTAAACATTGACTGTTGCTGATTTTGTTATTAATTGTAGTGTACGGTGTTGATGACTAAGATAAATTTTGGTGTGACACTTAGATGTAACTATTTAAACTTCTGATTTCATATTCAGTTACTTTTGACACTTGCTTTTAGTGACTTTTATGACTGAAAAAAGATACCTCACAAAGATTCATAGATCCAAATGGAGGAATCACATCATTGGCGACATTCCTGATGTCTCAGCCATCAATTACGCAGAGGATTGTGTTGAAATCGCCTATGACATTCCTGTCTTCCTTGATCTCAATCATTTATTCTTGCTAATTAATTGGAAGGTGTTGCATTTATATATATAAAGAATTAACCTTAAAACCCCTTTTTAAAAACACTGTTCAGTAGACTTTAGATTCGTTGAGATAATTTTTCATGCGTTCAAACCTTTTGTAACCTGTGTAGATAATGATTTTTTAGGAAGTTTTTTTAATAGACATTGTCTCAGCAACAAAATCGTGTAACAGTGGAAACATTTCCAAGCATTTATCAGAATGTCCTCTCTATGGTATAAGTATTTGAAATGCAGCTGCTTTTCTCACTGATTAATAAAGTGAGATATCTTTGAGAAGACAGATGGTATGTTTTGTTTTTTTGGAATATACAGATGCTACCAATAGCCATCTGTCATCACATAAATGGTAGCTGTATTTAGAATTCTTCTCTTTGTGAAGAAGAAAATTGCTTATTATTTTTAAATTCAACTCCTAAATATTTGTCCATAAAAAACTCCAGGAAATCAGAAAATTGTTGTCATTTTCTGTCTCTTACAAAGATTCTACTGTTTAAAGGTCTGTTTTGCTTATGTAGACTATATGCTCCAGTAAGTGTTATTGTGCTGAAACACAGGCCAAGCAAGGGTACCAATCTTCACCCTTCCCATCATGGAACTACCAGCCTTCTCTAGTTAGTCTTATGGTATGTATTAAAAAGAAACATATAACTTAATTTTTTTTTAATGGAGGTACTGGGGATTGAACTCAGGACCTTGTGCATGCTAAGCATGCACTCTACCACTGAGCTATACCGTCCCCCCACTTAATGTTTGCTTTTATTCATCCTGCCAAGTACACCTTGAGTTCCCAGTAGTGCTCATTACTGTGCTGGGTAGGCACTGTGGAAGACAAAGAACCATAGTCAGCATTTATAAATTGTTTACTTGGTACCAGAAACCATGTTGGTAGCTTTACATGTTATTTCATTTATTCTTCCAATAACCTTATGAAATTGATACATCCCTATTTTATGGATGAGGAAATTGAGATTCAGAAGTTAAGAACTTGTCCAAAGGACCCAGATAGTGAGTGACTGAACTTGGACCTAAACACGTAGTATGTTTTAAAGGACTATTCTTCAAACATGTTCTATTTTCTTTCAGAGATTTTTGAAAAATTACCATATTCCTTGTACATTTAAAAATTGACTTAAAAATTTTTTCATTACAAGTTTAGATAGTTGTAGAGGATAATTTTTGTTGTGTTGTAAATACTGATACAATAAAAATACAGTTTTTTAACCCAGTGGAATCGAAATGCCATTACATAGTAAAAAAATGCTTGAACAAAGTCTTCATTAATATTTGGAAATTTAACATTGTGTGTTTTCCCACTGAACTCCTTTGTCCACCCTACTTCCTCTGCAGAATTTTCCTGTAATTTACATATTTTATGCCTATGTCTTTTATTGCTCATGCTGTTGTTTCTCTGCAATAAAAACATGTAACAAAATTGATATTAAAAATTTTGTTACCATTAAGCTTTCTTTTGCAGTACGTGTATTTCTGGTGTAACATTTTAATTCCCATAATGATTTCTTCACTATTTTTTCTTTTTTTTGAATTTTTTAGTGGTTTTCTTAGTGTTTGCTCTGGGCTTATCATGTTGAGCTTATCAGTATCTCAATATAGTCATTAGGCTTTCAGTGTTAAATTTTTCCTCTGGATTGTGTGGTTATTATAGTTACTAGAGTGCAGTTGCTCAAAAACAGTATAAACATATTATACATTTGAATAAGTAAACATAAAAACTTTTATTGGAAATATATTTATCCATGTTATGGATGTGTTTCCCCCCTTCCCTGATTTGTTCATGTATCAATAGATAAATATACTTGCAGCAATAATTTGATAAGATTCTTTGTAAATTTCAATCTACATTTTTAAAAGTTTTAAGCTTGAGAAACACTGATGCCATAAATAAGTAGATGAGAATTGTAGGGATTCTGCAGGAGTGGCATCGCTTAGTTCTTGGAATTTGATTGTCATACCCAAAGCACGTGTAGGATGGGGAGACACGAGGCAGCTCACTGCAGGCCCTGCCTGGGGTTTTTACATCCTAGGCAGCGTATAAGGGAGGGCTCAGGGAGGGAAAAAGGTGTGTGTTTTTTGGCTAAGTGGGAGAAGGGAGCCTGTACGAGGGCGTATGGGAAAGGAGACCTAACACGATGCTGCTTCTTTAAGTACTCTTCTCAGGAAGATCAGTTTTAGGAAGGAATATATTTGAAGATTGAGGATCTACATATGTATACCTTAAAACCATCCATGCCCATGTGCTCTTTAGGAAGTCTGTAGGATCACACAAATACCAGTATGAGGAAAGCCAATTAAAGTAGTAGCCTCCAGTGAAAAAAATGTGAGCCAGTTAGTGTTCAACATGAGGCTTGTAGACAAGAAATTGCAACACTCCCCTTACGCCACAGAGCATATAGGAAGTACCTCACATGCAGACTAGTGTTTAATGTATATTTGTTATTTCAACTCAAACACTCTATATTGTCTGCCAAAAAGACATTTATTCTACTAACTATACTTAAATTAATTCTCTCTTCCTTCTGTTGTAAACACTCCTCTGAGACTGCTCTCAGTGGGATCACCCGTACCCTGAATGTTGCTGAATTCAATGGACATTTAAAAATCTTTGACTTTTTAAAAATTAAGCAAATATTTATTGTATACTTCTTATGGGCACTATACTTGGAGTATAGGATTCAACAAACTCATTATTGTCTTCAAGGAGCCTATGATCTAGAAACAAAGAGTTAGTAAATTGAACAAGTAATTGTTAAGTGTGATAAGTGTTGGGGAAGTAGAGAGTGACAGAAGACTCGCTAACAGGAGGACTGACTCTACCCTGAAAGTGAGCTTCCCGGAAGAAGTGGTGTTTTAAATGAGGGCCAAGTAGGTCTGAGCCAGGTGCAGAAGGTGGGTGTGGGAGGCCAGCCACCTGGAGAATGAATTGAGACTGCTGGCGCCTGCAGTAATCCAGAGAGATGGTGGTGGGTTGCCCCAGAATTGACTTCTTGTTAGCTTTTGCTGCACTTGACCACTCCTCTCTTTATGTTGTCTTTCCACAGTTTTCTGGGACAAGAGGCTCTCTTGATTTTCCTTCTACTTCTCTGTTTGCTTTTCATAGTTTACTTTGTAGGTTCTTCTTTCTTAACCTGTTTCTTAAATGTTGGTGTTTATCAGGATTCTCTCCTAGACTGCTTGTCATTTTACTCTACGTCAGTTCCCAAAGGCTCTCTCTCCTCCCCCTGCGGCTTCGTTTACCCCTCTGAGTTAGTAATGCCTTTCAGTATTGCAAGCCCAGATGGCCCACCTGAGCTCTGGACCAGACCATCCAGCTGCTTTCTAGACATCTCCACCTCCATGTCTGCTCAGATGTGCTGTTTGGAACTGAACTCATCCTCCCCTTCCCCTGTCCTCAGTCAGTGGTCCCACTGTCTAAGCAGTGCTCCAGGCCAGCAGCCTGGGAGTCATTCTTCGTTCCCTCTTTTCTTTACTCTTCATGATGCCAATTAAATCTGCTTCCTAATACATTACAAAAATTCATCTGTCTCTAACTTTCCTCATTGTCACTATCCTTGCTAAACCAATTTCTCTAGTTCCTCTGCTTGAATCTGCCTCTCTGCTTGAGTTTGCTTTCCAGCAGTACGTGCTCTACACAGCAGGAGTGACCAACTAAAAGTTCTAATCTCATCATGACAATCTTTGCTTAAAATCTTTCAATGACTTCAGATTGCCCTTGAGATAAATTTCAGACTCTAACATTACCGACAAGGCTTTTTGGATCCCAGTCACCCTTATCTGTGTAGCCTTGTCTCTGGCTCATCACCCTGGGATGCCGCACTAAAGACTAAAGCAGCTTCCCACACCCTTCCCCCAAATACTCTTGTATTTCAAATACGTGTGCTTGCACTCTCTGACCTCTGCCTTCTTTGAGTTCTTCTGCATGCTGTTGTCTGCCTGGACCAGTGTGCTTGGTAAGCTCCTCAGCCTTCTGGTCTCAGCTTTAAATAGCACTTCCTCAGGTGGCCTGCCTTGAATCTCCAGGTTAGGTTCTTTCACACACTCAAGTAGTACAGTGTGTTTTGGTCATGCAACTCATCACACTTGAATTAACATGTGTCTTTCATGGTAAGCTATTTTGTATGCTTAGGAAGGACCAGGAATCATCTTTATCTTGGTCTCTACTTTTTATATCCTTAGTGCCTGACATACATATGAACATATTTAGCACTTCTGAATAAATTAACAATTTTAAGCTCTTGTTGCTGTGATATCAAAATGCACTTGGTTTTTCTCTTTAGTGTCTCAATGAGATCCTGGAGTCAGCAGATGCGCCTTTAGAAGTCACTGAAGGATTCATACAGTCAATTTCTCTGTCAGTTCCATGGGGCTCCTTGCTACAGGATAACTGTGCACTGGAAGTGAAAGGGTTAGAAATGGTCTTCCGACCTAGACCTCGCCTAGGTAGGTGTGTTATGATTTTCCTGTTTGCTGGTTTCTATTTTAATTCTTTAGAGATTGGGAAAGTAACCAAATTGCATTAAATTCAGTATTTTAAATTTATTACGATGCATTGTGTTTGTAAGATTTTCAGTAGATAAACTGTTAGAATGTGGTCCTTGTAGAGTGTGTGTGATTGTTATCTTTAGGGTTATTTCTCTCTTTACTTACCCATAGGAACTTTAGTATACAGATGATTGGTTTAATTATTTGTTACCAATTATCTATAAAATGACTTAGGTCTTAAAGATTCAAACATTGTGCCAGAAACAAGGAAGTACGCAAAGATTGATGGAGAAATATTAGAAGGATACAGGATTGGGCTTGAAGGGGCTTCTGCTGGCCAAATCTGGAAAACTTGAGTATCAGAAAGGGTAATGACAATAATGGATTATAACACACTAAATAAAAAAAAAACCTAAGTCCATATGAATACAAATATGTAAATATTATGTAAGGAGGGCAAGGAGAACGTAAAGTTCTTTATTGCTATTACTTATAAACATAAATGATAATGTATCACCATGTTTTCAGCCACCATAGTAAAAGTACAGGTGAGGATCATCAGTGAATGCTGGTAGCACTGGGTGAAGGCTGGTTGAGGAGCTTGGTATTTAGACAGTATCAGAATAACTCTCACTGTTTACATATTATTTACAAAGAGAAAATTGTTCTTTCACAGTGGAGGAAATTGACAGTCAGCACGTAACTGAGTGATCAAACTTAACCTCATCAGTCATGGGTCAGACTGACAACACGTGTGTCCTGATGTAGTGGACTGAGAAGGGTGCGATATCAGTTTTGTACTATTCCTGCTAAATGTGCTTAATCTGAATCAAATCATAAGAAAACAGCAGGCAAACTGAAAATAAGAGAAACTATAAACTAGCTGGTTAGTACTGTTAAGAAAATGTCAGTATCATAAAAGACAATGAAGGAAGAGGAACTGTTCAGATTAAAGGAGACTGAAGCATGAATAATTAATTTTACTTCATAATTATGTTTTTTGTTCAGTTTAGTTTTGTTTTTTTCCCATGAAGGGTATCATTGGGGCAGCTGGGGAAGTCTGGGTATTGAATGAGTATAAGATATTATTGTGTCAGTGCTAAGTTGCTTGGGTGTGTTAATGGAATTGAGCATTTGCGGGAGACTGGTCTTGTTCTTAGGAGTTACATGCTGAAGTAATTAGGAGTGAGTGTTGTGAAGTCTGCTGTTTACCTTCAAATAGTTCAGTGAAAGTTGGAGTGTGTGTGGTAATCTTGATGAATCTGTGTGTAGGGTATGCAGGTGTTCGTTGTACTGTTCTTTCACCTCTATCTTAGGACTGAAGATTTTTGAAAGAAAACTTTGGGAGGGAAAAGCTTTAAAGTAGTAGTAAGTCATTGTTGACAAGTATATGTGTGTGGTAGTTTTAATTACACGTAAGATGTTTTCTGATTTGCCAAACATGTATAGAGTGCTTCATTTTGCCAGATACTGTTCTGAGTGATTTACAAGTATTATCTCACAATAACTATTTGAAATGGATACTTTTTATTATCTCCATTGCTGAACAGGAAGTTGAATCACAAATAGGTTTAATAACTTGTCCAAGGTCATAGCTAGTTTAGTGGAAAAGATGGGATCTGAATTTAGGCAGTCTGTTTCTGGAGTCCGTGTTCTTAACCACTGTGCTGTGTTGTGTCCTGTGTTGTCTACTGCGGAGTGTGTGTGTCTGTGGGTTTTATAGGCCAGTAAAATCATGATGGTAAATCATCTTAAATTATGAACTTTAATTCTTTCAGTGACATGTGATGTTTGTAAAGATAGGCTTGAAGAGTTATAATCCCAAGTGCTGCCTGAAACACCGAAGTAGAATTATAGTACCTGTATTTTGAAAATTGGTAATCTGTGCATGAGAATTCTTTGTAATCTGGTATTTAATTAGCAAGAATATTTTATCTTTCAACCAAGCTGAGTAGATATAGTAATACTTTGCTACAGAAAGTAAAATATTTTCCCCTTACTTTAAAAATATTTCACTAGAAGGACTTTTAAATTTAATTTTGGAAGGCAATAATTCTAGTAATCCTTGTCAGTTTGTTTTGAATAGCGTAAGGAAGTGTGGTGGAATTCTCTCATAGGAGAAGATCTGGAAAGGATTTTTCACTAGTCATGTATTCCTTCTCCAAGGATGCTCTTCTGTTGTATCTACATGCATCTACTGTGCTTCTGAAGCCTGGGTCAGCTGCCGCCTCTGCCAGATTTCCAACGAGTTCCTTCAGGTGGAAGAACTAGCCTCTCTTAGCTGTCGTAATATTTTCTGGTGACACTCAGTAGTTGCCTGTTAATTCTTCGTGATAGTATTCTCTTTCTTCCACTATCTTGTAGTCTCTTTGAGGGCAGAATTAATAATGATTTTATTTTTCTATCCCCTTCAGCAAGGTCAGCTAACTATGGCCTACAGGCCAAATCTGGTCTCTCACCTGCTTTTGTAAATAAATTATTATTGAAACTTCTTTCTGTCTGTCTTCATTCATTCATTCATTCATCCATCCATCCATCCTCTCTGGCTGCTTTTGTGCTAGAGTGAGAGTTGAGTAGTTGTGATGGAGACCATATGACCTACAAAGCCTAAAATATTTACTATTTGACCTTTTACAGAAAGTTTGTTGACCCCTGTTCTACAGTATTTTGAACAGTACCATGTATATAAAATGCTTGAATGACTTTGTGAATTAATATTTGGCAGGTGTATATCATGTAATGAGAGCACATGTCTCTGGACTTTTTTCTGTGGTCTGCTTTACAAATCTGTCATTTTCCTTTTCAATTATTATTCTTACATTATTATAAGATGATGTTTGAATCTCAAGAGTAATTTCTAGAATATTGTATCCATGGGTAACATCATGATGCTTAATATCTCTTGGAGGATTAAGAATTTTATGTGTTTGAAATGTGTAATTTTAAGAAATGGGTTTGTTGTAACTGTGAGAAATTGTTTAGGATTAATCTATATTTTCTGCAGCAACTGGTTCTGAGCCTATGTATTGGTCAAGTTTCATGACCAGCAGTATGCAATTGGCAAAGGAATGTCTTAGCCAGAAACTAACAGATGAGCAAGGAGAAGGAACCCAGCCTTTTGAAGGACTTGAAAAGTTTGCTGAAACCATTGAAACAGGTTTGGCATTATCGAGTATTTTGAAAAATTTTAGATTTTATTTAGTAATTTAGTACCTTTATTTAGTTAGCCTTGTATCAGGAAAATTTACTGGAGTGATTTTTTTTTTAAAGAATTACTATTCTTACTTCAGAACTTTACAATTGAGGTTATTTTAAGTATTGTATTCAGCTTAATTTCATGTTCTTTTTCACCCTAGCTTCTCCTCTGATTATTTCATTACGCTTGTATGATGTGGGGGTTAGAATTCGACAGTGTTAGTCGTTGCCCCAAGCTGAGGTGTAACACGGGGTAAGCGCTCAGCAAGGCAAAATATTTATTACCAAACTCAAGATTTGGGGATTTTTTTAGGGAAAGAAATTCCACTTTTGTGAGTTCTTGTCAAATTAATTTCGTATTTATTCCTTTCATTAGAAGTTTGTAGTTAGTATACATATGGTCTCATGTTGATGGCTACCTGTTTGTTTACTCTAGTACTAAGAAGAGTAAAAGTCACTTTTATAGACACTGTTTTGAGAGTTGAACATGTGCCAGAAAATTCCAAAACTGGAACTGCACTTGAAATTCGAATAGAAAGGTAAGACTTATTCTGTCTGAAAGCAAATGACCCTATTCTTCCCTTTATAAGTAATAAAATCTGAATCATTAGATTTCAGGATGCTTTTGGAGATGAGAGGTGATTATATTAAATTAATATATTAAATTTTTTTGAGTTAAGTGCTATTCTTCAAGTTATGTTCCAATCCCATTATTGAAAACTGAAAGTTTCAGGGTATAATTATATATAATATGGTGAATATTTGAATTCACAAAGCAAGTAATTATTTTAGTTAATATCAAATCAAAATAATGAATATTTGAGTGGAACTAAATTTAAGGCACTCCTGTTGGAGAGTTTGATTTTTCACATGAGCAGTGTACTATTTAGGTCTGTGTCATTAATGTGGAAGGCTTTTTTTGCTTTGCTTTCTTCGATGTAAGTATTGCTTTAGGCTAAGACTGCTGTTTTCTTTGAGGATTCTGTGAGGATATATTTAAGGTCAATTGTATAAATAGTGATTTACTTAAAAAAGATACAAACACATCGTTTTTAGTTTTTTGTGTATGCCCACCTGGAGCGCCTGTAGACAGCTCCAGAACAGGGACTGATTCGCATGCACACTGCTGAGTGTTGTTTTGAGCTGGTAACTCTTCACCTGACCTGCTAGCAGAGAGAAGCAGAATGAAGCACGGAAGACACTTGATATGTGGATCTGTGGGGGCCTTTACCGCATTTTTTAAGTAGATATGTTCTGATTTTTCCTTCACAAAACATACCTATTAGTGAAACAGTTATTGTTAACAGAACCTTGAAATTAGGTTGCATTACCTTAAATGGTATATTTAAAAACTGTCTAAAATCTAATGCATTTAGGACAACATTGTTTTATTTAAGTTGAAGATGAGTCATAAGAACTCATGGAGTAGTTACAGGATTCAAGAAATGTCACGTCAGACTTGTGACTTGGAGCCAAATGCCATCTCACTGTTACTAAGAGATGTTTGTGAGGAAGCACAGGAATTGTTATCCTTGACATGAGCTTTAGGGAGTTTCTTTTTCCCCCCAAATTTAGGAGCCTCAGAAAGTTACCTTCTTGGGGTTGATGTCTCTTCATGAAAATACTGGAGTAAAGCATGGTAATGCTGACCCGCCTTGTAGGTGTGTTCTGAGGAGAGCTGACACTTGAACAACTCTTGAAACTTTAACAGCTTTGTGCGTTTCTTAAAATTGCAAGTAGGTTTTCCTAGGAGTTTTATGCAAATGCTCTTTGTGTTTTTAACTTTCAGGACAATGTACTGCGATGAAGCTGCCGACGAGTCCTCAGGAATCAACGTGCATCAGCCCACAGCGTTTGCTCACAAGTTACTGCAGCTCTCTGGAGTGTCTCTCTTCTGGGATGAGTTTTCTGCATCAGCAAAATCTTCCCCAGTGTGTTCAACTGCACCAGCGGTAAGGAAAAGAAGACGGAAAACGAAATCATAGACTTTTGAAAGGTTTACACGAGGGCTGTTAAATTTTCCTAGGATAGATAGTGTGTACTGATGGGTTTCTGCCTGATCTGGGAGTTAACACAGATATTCAGTAGTGTGGGTACATATTTCAGAGATTTAAAAATACATTTATAATTAATGTCATTTCTACCATTGCTGTATTAATTTAATAGAGAGACATTGGATACTATGTCTTGGGGGGAAATGGTATATTAACATCCAATGTCATTTTTACAGTAAAAACAGGAAATCAAGCAGTGTTCACGTTTACCTTATGTAATGAATGTATTGCTGAAAATTTATCTTACAAGTCATATCTTACAGAAGCTATATAATTAAGGAACTCTGTTAATCCCTTCTAAGAGTAGAGAGTCCTTGTATAAAAAATTAGTCACTCCATGATTTATCTTTTACTTTATCTTACAAATCAGATTTTCTTAATTATAGAACATCTATTAAATTTTCTTATTATATAATTTGAACCATTACTGTGCTTTTTTCCCTTTTCCATAATTTGCCTTTATTATCAAGGAACTGTACTGTGTTTCGTGCTAGCTGTAAGATGCTGGTTTATCCACTGACATGAAGTACAGTTTTCAACTCATCTACTTTAGTCTTCTTAATTTGACAATTGTATTTTGCATTTCATTTTATTTATACTAAGGTATTTTAAAGAATTTCTTTCTTTCTTCTTGCGTTATTGTAGGAAACTGAGCCAAAGCTGTCACCTAGCTGGAATCCCAAAATTGTTTATGAGCCACACCCACAACTAACTAGAAATTTGCCGGAGGTAGCACCCTCTGACCCAGTGCAGATTGGAGGGCTAATTGGTAGGTTGGAGTTGAGTCTTACATTGAAACAGAATGAAGTACTTCCTGGAGCTAAGGTAAGTGTTTGTTTTATTTTCTGTAGATTAGAAACAAAACAAAGCTACAAGCATCATTTAACCTGCGCAGTGACCCACTGATTGGGTGCTGTAGGTTGTCCTGTACCTAGGGCCCCACTGTCTTGGAGTCAGTGTTTTCACCTCAGCTGGCGCCTCTGTTCTTAGATCACAGAGTTCATGTGAGGGACGCCTTTGCGCATTTGCTGCAGCTCAGGATTTGGAGCTGTTTACTACACTCACTTGTCCCCACGTTCAAAAATGTTCATTAGTTTGTGTAACTAGGAATTGCTTAAAGAATCTCTGTCATCATAAAATTAACAACTTTAAAGAAAGAGAGATTTGAAAAGCAAGAAGTTGACTGAAGGAGATGTTTAGTTACATGTGTGTAAAAATATTCACTGATACGTTTGAACAGAATGACTGCTTTTATAGTTGTATAATATTTATGTAAAGAGATTGATTTTTTTCATGATATCTCATAGCTTTTTGAAGGTACTGTAAAGACAGCTGTACTTGTTTCTTAGGGAACAATATTGAACAGTGAAGAATCGGGAAACTTGTGTTTATTTAGTCAGTTAATAATGTGTCTGGCAAGTATTATTTTCAGACTCTGGAAACTAATTTTCTATATTTGTGTAAAATGTAGTTTAAGAGACATCAGGATATTTATTTTTTATCCCCGGACGTAACTAGCTCTAGACGTTTGGGGAACTGCTGTCTGCCAGGCCCCATGCAGGTTCTTGGGACAGCTGCAGGGACGAGTGGAATACAACCTTTGTCTTAGTAAAAGGTGTAATAAGGGACATAGACGTGGCCGTGGGAACATGGAAGAAGGGGCCACTGAGTGCATGTGATTGTATGAAGAACGGTTTTCAGGAGAGTGAAGGATCACCGAAAGTCCTTCCTTGGACTGGAGCGCCTGGTTAGAGTTTCAGCAGGAGGAAGGTGAAGGTTAGAGTGGCAGCATTCCTGTTACTGACTGTCCCTTCTCCCCGTTGGCTGTGCTCTGTCCTACCTCAGATGGTACAAAATCCACCCACAGGTCTGAAGCCTCTTCATCAAATAACATGATGGGGTTGCTAATGGAGCAGAGCACCATGTATGTGCAGACACTACAGGGAGTCCCTGCTGTGGTAACTTCCTTGGGAAACTGAATGCGTCCATGCCCCTGAGGAATGCATTTACTGTCATTTGAAGAAGGAAGAACCATAGCGATAACTTCTTTAGTTCTGTTTTGATTAATTATAGCCAGCCCTCAACATTTGTATATTTCATTTTTGTGCAGATCAAAACTTTTGCACATTATGTATTGATTTGTATAAATGCCTTTTAAATGTTACTTTTGGACATCTGTGTATTAGGTGACAGATGAGCATCTGGAACTATTGCATGGTGGCGTTGTCTGTTAGCCAAGGGCTTAATGTTTGGAGATATTACTGTTCTTGCCTGTATGGTAATTTTTTGTGCGGCAACTGGAGTATTTGAGTACATTTTGTTCTTATTTAATGATAATGGCTGCTAAATGGAAAAATTAAAGTTCTGAATAGTAGCAGTGAGAAACACAGATCTCATAAACATAGTACACTACAAAGATGACATGAGTTAGAGGCGCCCAAAGTGTCAGATCTTTAGTCTCTTTCATTAGACTTGTCTTTCAACTGTGGGATCAAAATGGTATGGAATATTTCATGTTATTTTTAGTTCTCTGAGACTGTTCACCCCTCAAGTAGTATGTAAGTTTGGTGTTTCACATCCTCAGTTTTATCAGATGTTTTTGGGAATGCATTATATATGAAAATAGGGAACTGCTTATATTGAATTTAGAGACGTTTTGTTTCAATTACCGTGTTACATTGAGTTTGAAATTTGGTATTTTATTTTCTTATTATTATTACTTTTTAACATTTTTTACTGAGTTATAGTCATTTTACAATGTTGTGTCAAATTCCAGTGTAGAGCACAATTTTTCAGTTATACATGAACATACATATATTCATTGTCATATTTTTTTCACTGTGACCTACCACAAGATTGTGTGTATATTTCCCTGTGCTATACAGTATAATCTTGTTTATCTATTCTGCATATGCCTGTCAGTATCTACAAATTTTGAACTCCTAGTCTGTCCCTTCCCACCCCCCGCCCTCTTGGCAACCACAAGTTTGTATTCTATGTCTTATGAGTCTGTTTTCTGTTTTGTATTTATGTTCATTTTTTTTTAGATTCCATACATGAGCGATCTCATATGGTATTTTTCTCTGGCTTACTTCACTTAGAATGACATTCTCCAGGGACATCCATGTTGCTGCAAATGGCATTATGTTGTCGGTTTTTATGGCTGAGTAGTATTCCATTGTATAAATATACCACATCTTCTTTATCCAGTCATCTGTTGATGGACATTTAGGCTGTTTCCATATGTTGGCTTTTGAAATCTAGTATTTTAGTTGTTTTTTTTTTTTTTAATATTTCCAGAGGAAGGTAATATGTACCTTGTTCTTTGTATGCCAAACTCAGAATTACTAATAATGAAATAATTCTATGAAAATTAGAAATGAAACTTTCTTCATCATGCATTCTAATAAAGATCAGAGACTGTGCTTTCAATGCTGAGAAATTACAAAACAGTTTTTAAATTTGGCATATGATCAGAAAGATTTTCTCACTTTCCCCAGCCTTAACTCCTTGCTGATTCATGGCCTGGGGTGTCAGCAGTCAGTATGGAACCCCATAAAACAAGTACTCCATGGGTCAACCTAGGTTAAAATTCTGTCTCTGGATCTGTTAGACCTTGGATAAATCACTTAATCTTTGTGAACCTGTTTCCTTATCTGTAAAACAGGAACAGTACAAGAATTAGAGGAAATAAAATAAAAGCATCTAACATAGTGCTCCAATACTCAAAAATGATAAATAATGATTATTATTATTGGAAAATGTCTTATTTTATTAGTTAGATAATGGAAATTTCTCAAAGTCACTGTGTAATTTATTTTATTTTTTGTTTTTAGAATCAGAAGAAATTTGTTTTTCTCCTGGGAAAGATGCCATTATCCAAATATAAATGTGTTTTCTTAATTGAATTATTTTTTAATTGTAAAATGGCATAAAAATAACAGGAGTCAGTGTTGGCATTAGAGCTAAGAGGAGGCGAGTGAAAACTGAGGCCAGAATCTGTAACTTCTCAGAATGTGATGAGAGAACAGAGTAGTTGCTTTTGTCAGGGTATATTCCACAGGAATCAGCATGAGAGTGGAATGGGGCTTTTTTTCTAGAGAGAAAAATGGACAAAGAGTTGGAAAAGAAAAGGGGGTTTCACATGAGCACTTTCTTCCTGCTGTGGCTCAGTGCCAGTGGGGAGCGGACTGTGTGGAGGGCAGCGGGCATTCGGAGGGCATGCTGTTGGTTATGAAGGTCCATGCTGTTCCAGTAGGGAGTGTGATCCATGGGTAGACTTAGGAAAGCCAACTTTATTTGCTCTTGGTTTGAATCAAGCTTTAAAGATTGTGATTTGAGTCTTTTGAAATGATGATGAGGATGAATGTTCTGTTACTGCTATCTTAATATTCTTTCTTGGAGACTATGTCTTAGGCCTCCTCAAATACCTTATGTCTTATGCCCCTTCAGATACTTTAAATACTCAGAAATCTCAGAGATGTGAGATATGACATTGGACTTGTCAACAGGAAATTTCTTCAGAGGATTTTCCCTTGTAGTGGCCTTGTATCTTTTCATTTAGATTGTGTGAATTAATAGAATCTTAGGTGAAGGAATCTAAGACTAAACAGTATTCCTCTCACTGCATTAAAATACTCTGGGATTTGTGGTAATGAGCTTATAAAGATTGTTCATCCTGAGTAGGTTTCTTTTCTTCTTTTTTTTTTTAAGTTGGATATTGATGGGCAGATAGACTCTGTACATCTGTTCCTGTCGCCAAGGCAGGTACACTTGCTTTTGGATATGTTAGCAGCTATTGCTGGACCAGGCAAGTATAACTCTGTTACTATTTCTAATTCTTTAAACCCTTTTAGTTAAATTATGTAGCATATGGTTATATAGGAATATGTGAACTTAAAGCTGTATTATAAATAAGAATCCTCAATAGTTAAATTTGATTGGGTCTTTCAAATTATATTATGGCACAAATTATCAGTCAGATTTTTTTGTGTCACATACTTAACATTTCAGAACTGACTGACTTACTTCCTTGGTTGGGGATAGTACTTCATACAACCAAGAAGGTATAATTCTTAAACACAGTAAATAGGACATATTAAAAGCACTCTTTTAAATGACTTATCTATCAAAGATAAGATCTTGTGATTCCTAGCTGGCTACTTCGAGCTCTCACTTAGATGTCTGATTGTTAGTGGTGATTTTGCACTGACTGTGGTAGTAAGTTGCATTGATATTGGATAAATGGGTTGAGAGAGAAATAATTAAGTAAGTCCAAATTTAATTACTGTTTTGCTTTCCTTTTGCATGCTTGTAGAAAATTCAAGCAAAATAGGGTTAGCTAATAAAGACAGAAAAAGTCGACCCATGCAGCAAGAAGATGAATATCGAATCCAAATGGAATTAAACCGGTATTATTTGAGGAAAGATTCCCTCTCTGCCGCTGTATCCTCAGAGCAAAGCTTTTATGAGACAGAAACGGCTCGTACACCTTCTAGCCGGGGTAAGCAACTCCAAAAGTTGACTCCAGAGTCATGCATTATCATCACAGACCAAGGTAAACTTAATTTTGGCTGCTGTGATGTGGAGTGTAGTAATGAAGAAAACAGGAGATCCGTGCTGTAAGAAGGTTTAAATTGTGTATGTTTATCTAACCACAGCTTTACAGTGATGCTCTGGCACATGTGTGCTGCAGTATCCTTTCTGATTGTGTACTTTTGTTTTGTAAATCATGATTTGTTCTACGGAAAGTCAGTTAAAAATGTGGATTTGCACAAAAGATAAATGGGAGGTAATTATTCATTTTGTCAAATTCTTTTGTGCTCACATAATGATCTGCAGTGGCTTCCTTTAAATAGGAACCTTTGTCTGTTAATCTTCCTATCAGTTGTCTGTAAATTTAATCTTTACCCAGTTTACTTTGCATTTACAGGTGTTTCAGAGTGTGTAAGCTCTAGTACCGTAAATAGTAAGAGTCGATTTAAATATGGAATGTTGAACTAAATAAAAAATTAAAGTCTACTCAAGAAATTTTGACCATACAGACTTCATTTGCATGAGGGTAGAACAATCTCCAGAAAGAAGGAAGTGGAACATGAGTAGAATTCTAAATAAAGTATTGAACTCTTTTTTTTTTTAAGTAATAGCTGTAGCCATATGAAGCCAGGGATAGCAAGATATTAATATGGTTTTAGAATCTGGACTGTTTTAAAATCATATGACACTTAAAAATAGACCATATAATATGGATTAGCATATGTTTAAAAAAAAAAAGTTCACCAGTAGGCTAGCTTATCCTTCTATTAGCTATCTATCTTGGATCCAAAGAAATTACCCCATTGGTAGTAACATAAAATTTAGGGCATCACTGTATCTCTGAAAGAAGAATGTGTTATTAATATATATTAAATTACTTAAAGATGTGAATTGGGGGAATTATAATGAAGTTGACAAAGTTTCATTCTCTCTAGAAGAAGAAGTTTTCTTTTCCATGGCTGATATGGACATGTCCCATAGTCTGTCTTCCCTTCCACCCCTTGGGGAACCCCCAAATATGGACCTCGAGTTATCATTAACTAGTACATACACCAATACCCCAGCAGGATCTCCACTAAGCACCACTGTGGTAAAGTATTATTTAATTTTTGTTCTATTCTTGAAAAATTGCTTCTAAAATTTTGCACTTTATTAATGTGCTTAAAAAATTGTTTTATAGCTTCAGCCAACTTGGGGAGATTTCATTGATCATCATAAAGAACAGCCAGTAAGAGGGTCAGCATTACCATCCAACCTAGTTCACCCAGCATCTTTACAGAAGACTTGTAAGTAAAAAAACACATTTGTTGATAGTTTTCACTGGTATTTTTTAAAAACTTGAAAAAAAGTTACTTTTGAAGAATGCCGTTGTACTGATTCTTTTCTTTTTCTTCATAAAATTTCCTTTGGTCTAGGCCATTTAATAATGTTTAGAAAGAAAATGAAGCATTGTTGAATAATTCACTGTGAAGTGTTTTAGAATAGTTGCCTATTTATTGTATTCTTTGTGTGTTTAAATACTTAAAATATTTTTATTATAAAGTATAGCATAAGTTTCATATTATTGTTGCCATTCAGGAGTCTTAATCAACTATCTGATTTTTGTTTCACTGTTTACACTTCCCTTAAGAGAGAACCTCAGTTTTCTTTTCTGAAAAATTTAGTTGAAGTAGACACAAAGCTTAAAGGAAATTTGGTCAGCGGCTTTTGGTTAATCGCTGACTTTTTCTAGGACAGTTTTATTAATGCAGAAGTTTTGTTCATATGTTTCCCTGTGTAACATATTTTTTTGTACTTCAATTATCAAGGATCCAGGATGTAAAATGCAGAACGATTACAGTTTATTTTACTTATTTCATTGATTCAAACTGTTGTGTGATCACCTGTAATGTGATCACACATTAGTAATTGTTTTATACTTTTGATGTAATGGGTTGTTTCAAGTATTAAATTTTATGTATATAATTTGAACACATGTATTTCAGCTCTCCCGTCTAGATCTGTGTCAGTGGATGAATCCAGGCCTGAACTTATTTTTAGACTAGCTGTGGGAACTTTTTCAGTCTCTGTGCTTCACATCGATCCTTTATCTCCACCTGAAACGTCACTGAACCTTAATCCGTTGACATCTATGGCGATAGCTTTCTTTACTTGCATAGAAAAGATTGATCCAGCAGGATTTTCAACAGAAGATTTTAAGTCTTTCCGAGCGGTATTTGCAGAAGCTTGCTCGCATGATCACCTTAGGTAAACTCCTGTATTTGTTAATGATCCTTGGAAAAGAACCAAATATGGACTTTTCACTTATCCATCTACCCATCTCCATTTGTTTTTCTAATTCATGTTTTATTTGTAAATGAGTGGAATGAGGTTTTCTTGCAGTACTGCAAGGATGTTTACCATAGAATGTCTCATTCAGGTTATTTGGCATGTGAAACATTCAGATATAAGATCTAGGTAATCTGGAGTTTTCTAATTATCTTTTCTTTAGTTCCCTGCCCTGCTTTTGTCAAGTTTCTTTGGCCATATTTTGCCATCATTCTCCACTGACACCATTATGATCATAAAAATGGTTCTTATTGTCACTGGCTTAGCAGAGATGGCGGTGGTGAGAATAGAATGAACTAATGAAAAGGGACTTTGAAGTGATTCATATGCCACTGCCCGTGGGGCAGGAAGTGATACCTGAGCTTGAATGCTACATTTTCAACTTCCACTTAAAAAAAAGAATCAAAGCTGTTGAAATAGTTACCGATCTTTTCATGGGTTGAGTCCTAATAGATGAAGAGATAATTAAATTTATAAGTATGTATAATATTGTTACTGTGCAAGTGGTATTTTAATGAGACTGACCTATAAATTCTCCAGTCATATTTTATATAATGACTGAGGCTCATATGTTAATATTTTTAGAAAATATTTTGGGCTTGTGTTTTAACTTTAAATTCTTTGAAGCATTAAAATTAATATGCAAAGTAACTTTTATATCTAGCATATCTAGCAAAAGAAACTATAGGTTAGGACCATAATATTTATAATAAAACTGCAAAAATATTTTTTCCTTCCCGTTTTTGACAAGGTTTCAAGTATCTGCCAGTAGGAAATACAACAGAAGTAACAAAAACTAGATACAGAACTTCATTTGTGTTCTACTGACTGAAGTTTTTAAGATATTGCATGATTCCTCTAGATAGTTGAAAAAAACTATTACATATATTTTACGGATTTGAAAGGCTTTATCCACTGCAGTGTAAATTTTTAAATGTATTAAGAGGGAAGGGCAGTGTTGGGAAACATATCTTGGATAATTTCCTGTCAACAGGTCTGATTTCTTTTTTTTTTTAATTTATCTTTAATTTTTAAAAATGTTGTTGAAGAGGGAGGTGATTAGGTTTGTTTATTTTTGATGGAGTTACTGGGGATTGAACCTAGAACCTCGTGCATACTAGGCATGCTCTCTACCACTGAGCTATATATCCTTCCCCCAGATCTGATTTCTTTCTCTTACATCAGGGAATGGGAAATTTGAAGCATCTTTCTGGTTAATATCCTTAAGAATATTAATTATTACTAACAATTTGAACTTGTCAGAACAGGTGGGTATTAACATGTGTACTATGCTTTGAGACATTGTTTAATCTAGAAGTGTATGGATACTCTTAATTGCTGTGTTTTTTATAATAGATTTATAGGTACTGGCATCAAAGTGTCCTATGAACAAAGGCAAAGATCATCTTCCCGCTATTTCAGTACTGATATGTCCATTGGGCAGATGGAACTTTTGGAGTGCCTGTTTCCGACTGATTTTCATTCTGTTCCTCCTCACTATACAGAGGTAAATGCTAGATGCTTTCCTTTTGGGATTATTCTTTAAATCTGTCTTACTTTTTATGAATTGTATGAATAGCAATGATTTTCTTAAAAAAGACATAAGAAGAAGTTTTCTGTGCATGTTTGCATTTATATTTTGTTGAAATAGATTTTTAATTATGGCATTCAAAGGGATTATAAGAGTGAGTCACATTTTTAGAGTTGACTTGTTTTATGGGACAAATGACTTCGTTTCACTAATTTTCCAAGCACTGTTAATTTCAGAAGAGCTCTGTTATTCAGCACATGTTTACTGAATGCCTGCTGTGTGCTAAGTTCATTTATTATTAATCTGATTTTTTTCCTATCCTGAAAGTGGGTCCTTGAGAAACTTTTTGAAGCTATCGAAATAACATTTTTATTGCTATTGCTTTGCCCTTGTGTCTTATTTTATGTTCAAAGGGCTTTATGTGAACCCACATAACATTTTGCAGATGTGATACTAATATCACAGAAGTTAACTGACTTATCTAAGATACATTGCTAGTAAATAACTAACAATGAGACTTAACCCAGATTTTCTGACTTCAAAAAGCTCTTCCCACCATTATATTAGTTCTTCTATTAATTGATGTGATTAATTATAGGTTAATATTGTACATTTAATTTATCTTCTTCTTTGTTTTTAAGCTTTTAATGTTCCATTCCAAAGAACGAACTGATTCCCACCCTCCTGTGTGTCTTCAGCTTCATTATAAGCATTCTGAGAATAAAGGACCCCAGGTAAGAGATCTTTTTGTGTGATTACTATCTGTAAATTTTCATTTGATATATATTTTATCACAATCACAAAGTTTTAATTTAATTTTATAGAATTGCTCGTTATCATATTAATACTTTCTTTCTTTTTTTTTTTTTAAGAGTAATCAAGCAAGACTTAGTTCTGTTCCTCAGAAGGCAGAATTACAAATTAAATTAAACCCAGTATTTTGTGAGCTGGATATCAGTATTGTGGACAGGTTAAATTCTTTGCTTCAACCCCAAAAACTTACTACAGTGGAGATGATGGCATCTCACATGTATACGTCATATAATAAGCACATTAGTCTGGTAAGTATTTAAAAAGTTGCGACTACTAATCATAATTATAGCCAGTTAATAGGCATACTGGGCTGATTTCTGAACTTAATGGCTATTCTTAATGGGTTAAATAGCATATGTTATTAAAACAGCATTATTTGTAATAAAAGATGGAGACATCTTGTATATCTAGATAGTAGACTAGGTAAATAGGTTGTGCTATTATACTGAGTGAAATTTTATGCTGCCGTTGTAAACGATGGTTTTGAAGATGGTACAACACATGAAGAAGGCTCATGAAGAAGTATTGCGTGAGAAAGTAGAATGTATTATTCCACATAAATTATTACAACTGTGTAAATAAAATTGTATATAGGGAAAGAATGGCTGGAAATACACCATTAGATAAGTTTCGCCTGTTTTTGTTCTTCAAATAGGTAACACTGACTATTTTAGGGTGGTAGTGGAATTAGATTTTCTTTTCTGTGTTTATCTGAATTTTATGAACTGTGACAGTAATATCTTCACAAAACTGTATCTATTCACACATGTAATAAAGTACTTGAATCTCCTTTAAAGCGTAGCCCATATAATGTAGGATATACTTTTGAAAATGGGAACATAATTTATCATATTGTGTTAGCATCACATTATATCACTTTTACTTAGACCTGGTGCCTGGTGTTTTTTCTAAAAGCAAATCAAGTAAGTCAGGTTTGCAAGATGTCTGCTAAGAATTTTACAGTCGGCACAGACAGAGACAACTTGGCTAAAAAGAAAAGGGAAAAGATATTTTACTACGTATTTGCCTCTCCCTTAATTAGTGGTGGGTATTCATATTAAATCAACAGTCTTTAATTTTTTACTATCAACAACTGCTAGTTCTTTTAAATTCTGTGGAGCTAGTGTCTATATCTACTGTGAGCCATAGATGTGTTAGGATGATGATTTAATCTCTTGAGTTATTTTTGCTGAGAGTAGGGGTTAGTACTGGAAAGTCAAATAGGGGAAAGAAAGAATATGTTTGTTAAAAATCCAGGTGTTAGCATAGAAAGGGACCTTTCTAATTTAGGAAGTTAAAGACTGATCCATGAAATTGAGGCATGTTATCACCTACACTATACTCTGGACTAAATCTTTATAAGTTACAGTACATTTTAGAGAAAAAATAGAAACAGACTTTAATCTGAAGGGCGTGTTCTTTGGCCCTTTTATTGTAAGAGGGCTTTAAGTAAATGGTGCATACGTGTTTTGGTTTCTAAGAGTTATTTGATGGGATCATACCCTTAGGTTGGATGGGAGCTCAGAGTGAATCACTTAGGGAGTATTTGTTTAGAACTTGTGCTGTGCCAGGCCTGGGCTTAGTCCTGGAAATAGAGATGAGTCAAGGATGGGTCTTTGCGCTTGGCATAATTCTGATTTCACATTGAAGTCTATAAAGTAGCATATTAATGGATAAATCCTTCAAATTGCATTTATTTTATTATAGTGATTTTTAACCATATTGAGTTTGTTGATAAGCTAATTCTTTTTTAGTCTAGTAGGATGTGTGTACATCTGTAGCACCTGTGTTCAGTTTTATGCGAAGGTGTAACTTGCCAATAGTTCTGACTTTCGTCAACACTGTTGCATTATAAAACTTCATTATGCTGAATTAACATGGTAGTAGTTAATACGAATTGTATTTTAATGCATTATCCTTAAAGAAGAAGCAGTGATTATATATATTGTGATGTTGAAAACCAGTGTCGTTTATGTTTATTTGTGTAACTTAACATCTTGGCATATTTTTGATATTTTGTGTTTTAGCATAAAGCTTTCGCTGAAGTATTTCTAGATGATTCACATAATCCTGCAAATTGTCGGATATCAGTACAAGTTGCCACACCAGCATTGAACCTTTCTGTTCGCTTCCCAATACCTGATCTTCGATCAGATCAAGAGAGAGGACCATGGTTTAAGAAATCACTTCAGAAGGAGATTCTTCATTTAGCATTCACAGATCTAGAATTTAAGACTGAATTCATAGGAGGATCAACCCCTGAACAAGTTAAATTGGAGCTTACCTTTAGAGAACTAGTCGGTAAGGTTGAACGTGCCTGTAGAAGAGTCAGACTAGAAATGACTGTTACCAAAACTTACATTAAGAAAAAGTGTAACAGTCCCCAAATGCAATAAACTTAAAGACATATATTAGAAAACAAGAGTAACAACTTTTTTTCCCCAGTATTGTATACGTATGTATAATATAGGTCAGTTTTTTAGAAGGAACTACGATCCATGATGACTCACTTAGATAATATAGTGCTTTAGCCTACATTTTAATACTGCCTACCACTTACATGTTGTAAGACTAATAGTAGCCAGAATTTACTGAGTGCCACTCTGTGTTTGCTATGTGCTGAGCATTTCTCACATATTATCTTGTTTCCTTTAATCATCATAGTTATGATAAGCTTATTATTTCCAGTTACTGTTGGTTTTTGTCTCTTTTTTTTATTTTTTGGAGGGAGGGTAATTAGGTTTATTTATTTATTACTATTATTTTTAATGGGGGAACTGGGGATTGAACCCAGGACCTTGTACATGCACTCCATCACTGAGCTATACCCTCCCCATCCCTATTACTTTCATTTTTTATAACTGAGGACTCTTACTGACTTCTGAAGAGGTGCCTTCCAGCGTCACATAGTAGTAAGTGTCAGAATCAAGATTCAAACCCAAGCCTGAACTACAGCTTGAGCTTTCAACCATCATACTAGTCTCTAGTGACTTTTCTTTGTAAAATGTGTCACGTTTTCCTGTATTACTCTGCTTTCGTCAGCTAATGAAGACAGTATACAGACTTAGAGTGAACCCAGTCTGTGAGGAACTCTGGAGGATCCTGACTTTTTCTGTTTTTCCTAAGCAGCCCTCCTCTGCCTACCCACCCAGCCCCTCTCTGCCACCACTGCTACATCCCCCTGCCACCACACCCCCCTCTGCTCACCTCCTTCTCTGGGAATAGGCTGCAGTTTCCCTTCCCTTGTTCTTGTTGAGTTTTACGTATCTATAGACATTTAAAGTTGACTTGCCAATTATGACTTCATGAAAAGGCCTTTAGGGTTATCTGGAGCCTTCCCTTGTCTCTAGTGATAAGAAACTCACTATTCTAGTGGAAAGCCATTCTTTGTAAAATGGAATGAAAAAACATGTATGGGGTTATTGTGAAGAGATAATTCTTACAGTGCTTGGTACAAAATAGACATTTAAGAAATGTAGTTATTATCCCTATGTTTCTAGATTAAATGCATAAAATTCTATGAAGAAGAATCACTAGGTGGCACTCAGTACGTGGTAGCTGCTACATTTAATATGTCATGATGATTGCACTGTACACATTAAGGCTTTGAGTTCAAATAGCAAAATGCTAGCATCTTTAATTTATCTGCTCATCCTGTCTCCTCACGTGCACATGTGCAGCAGGAACAAATGAGTAAATTCTGCAGAAGTCAGTGTTGCATCATGTCCCTGATTTAGAGGATCTTTGTTCCTCTAAGGAGGAAAGTACCTTTTCTGTTACCATTTGAGAAGAAATGAATTTCAGTTAATCAATCTGGCTTTATTAGGGTCATTCCAGGAAGGTAAAGGAGAACCATCTGTTAAGTTTTTCCACGTGGCTAGTGGAGGAGATGGAGATACAACGTCGTCAGATGACTTTGACTGGCCGCGGTGAGTGCGCAAACGTCTATGGTACATATGTTTAATGGGATTTTCCTTTCAAAAATAAGTTGCTATAGTTTTTTTTGTGTGTGTGGGCTTTTTTTGTTTTGTTTTGTTTTTTTACTATTTTGGCTATTAAATTTAAGCTAAAAATATTCAGCCTTGATGAGAGAACCCAAAGAAGATGGTAAAATTAAATTAAAAAAATATATTGAATACTACTTTGTCAAAGGTGTCTGTTAGATACTGACTGAAGTATAAAATGTGTTCTGTGGCCTCAGGTTACCGAGCCTAATTGATGGACAAAAGAATCATTAACCATTTTAAAAATAGTGCATTTTTAAAAAGGGCTTTAGTGGAAGAGATACCATGTAGCACCATCTGGTTAACCGTCAAATGAATCTTATAGTCAGTGATTGTTTTAGGAAAGTGTTTTCAGGTCTGGGGCGCTTTTGTAAAACACTCATCTTGGGCACCACCTTAAGATTCTGAGACAGAGCCTGGGCATCAGTGTAGTTTAAAAGCTATAGCAGGTGATCCCAGTGTGCAGTTGGACTTAGAGCAGCACGGCTTCAGAGGAGTCTTAGGGAGGAGAAATCATTCTTTAAATCAAATTATCCTGATAGTGGGCTTGGGTTATATTTAAAAGAACTTAGTTTTCTCTGAATAATGATCCTTTATTATGTTGAAAACTGAGTACGTGAAGTCTCTCTAAGAATTAAAGCGATCTTTTTTGTGCCATTTTTTTTACCTGCCTTCTTTTACAGCCCTGCCCCCTATGTATCAGACTATTAGATGCCTGGGTAGGCATTATCAGTGCATGCCTGATAGTGAGCAGGAGTTTAGAGCCTGAGTTTTCATCATAAGAAACAGACCTATTTCAATTAAGTAGTTTGAAAGCACGATTTACATTAGGATATCTATAGATTAGGAGACAGGTTTTTAGTTTATAAATAGAAACAACTGGCACCACCTGCTTAGGGGGAAAAAGCTGTTGTAGATGCAGCACAGCTGCTGTGTTTGAGAACGCCATGCCTCCTCGTGACAGCGGGCTGATATGGTGATAAAAAGGAGACCACCGAGCCCTGTGCTAGTGTTGAGCCGCGGAGGATTCGGGAAGGAATGGCGTTTCTGTGGCACACAAGCTAGTGTCATCAGAGGCTCCTGATATTTTGGGTTTGTAGCCACAGAAGACCACCAGTAACACAAGCCTATTGAAATTCCTGAGGGAAAAGACGGCTTTGCTGTTCTGAATAGATTCCCTAGTCAACCCCTCCTTTTTTCCACTCGGACAATTTATATAATGTGAGGTTTCTCAGGTATGCAAGTATTCCATCATAGTCGAACAGATGGCATGTAGGTGAATTTGGCTTACTGATAATATATAGAATTCTTAGGTAAAATTTGCTGGCTGTTAATGAAATTTTAAAATAACCCTTTTATTCTCAAAAGATCAGATTTTCAGTTAGCCAAGTATAAAATGTTAATGTTCCTTTTTTTACTTGTTGCATCAATTCCACACTTTTAAATTTACAGCAGTAAACATAACTAGACTACAAATTCGACTCCTATCACCAATGACTTAATCAGTGGGCTTTGTATTAGTTTGTATACACGTTAGTTTTGCAGTTTACACTTAGATCTTGATTTTTAAAATGGTCTCTGTTATCAGAATTGTACTGAAAGTAAACCCACCAGCCATGCATTCCATTTTGGAGAGAATAGCAGCTGAGGAGGAAGAAGAAAGTGATGGCCACTATCAGGAGGAAGAGGAGGGAGGCGCTCATTCGCTGAAAGATGTTTGTGACCTGAGAAGACCAGCCCCGTCTCCCTTTTCTTCTCGTAGAGTAATGTTCGAAAATGAACAGGTAAAATGAAAAGTGAGCAAGCAACAAAGGAATTACCTTCTATCAGATAGCAATGGTTTTAATCCTTTATCTTTAAGTAAAATACATTGTATATTGTTTTTGTTAGGTTTTTAGTTCCAAGATTAAATTATGTCTGTTTCTCCCTTGGTTAAAAGTTACATGCTTATTTAGTTGCTCACTTAGTTGTATGGGTAGAGCAAGAAGATAAATACAAAATGGTTATTTGATGCATTGTTTCTGCACTAAACTGTTATGTTTTAGATGGTGATGCCAGGAGACCCTGTAGAAATGACAGAGTTTCAGGATAAAGCAATCAGCAATTCTCACTATGTGCTGGAACTTACGTTACCTAATATTCATATAACACTACCTAATAAAAGCTTTTATGAGAAGCTTTATAATAGGTGAGTTTAAACACGTTTAGTTGAATCTTTGGGATCAGACTTCTCTTCCTAACTGCCTCCCTGTCGCCCTACCTCCCTGCTTTCCCTCTTGCCCCTTTTCTTCCCTTGCAACAGTATTACTGTCAGCTCAGTGTACTTGGTGCGGTGTTTACCGTAGAACTGTTACTGTCACGGTGGGCTGTTTCCTGACCAGTGTGCCTGGTAACTGGGTTACTGATGGGTGAGGTGTTTATTCCTGTCACCCTCAGTTGGCTAGTTGCCCCCTGTCACCTTACCACAGGATATTGAGAAAATGCGTCTTCTTCGGGTGCAGTGACATGAAAAGAGTCGGGAGGTACTTGTAATAGAGGACCAACGGGTACTAGTGTAGAGTCCGAGTCCTGGAGTCTTTGTACAAGGAGCATCCCTTCTCAGAGTTAAACGGAAGCATCTGGTTAGAAGTAGAAACTCTAACTTGTAAACTTGTGTATAAAACTGAAGTTTATTACGTGTAAGCACCTTGAAACATATACCAAGCAAATATGTTGAAATAAATGGCATTCTAGGATTGGAAGGTCGTAGACTCTTGGCCGGCTCACCCAGTCCCTGTAAGCTCAGTTTCCTCATCTGTAACATAGAGATGATACTTGTACGGGTCTCAGTGGGTTGTTGGGAGCATTGAATGATGTACATGTGGAAGGTTCTGAGAGCAGTGCCTGGTGTGCAGTAAGCACTCAGGAGTCATCTGTTATGGCTATCATTCCACCCACTCTGGCGTACCTGAGGGGTGGTCATGTGGGTTTCTAGAAAAAGATGTCCTTAGTGTCTGTCATCCCTTGCTTGCTTCCCACATGCAAGCAAATTATCTAAATTTTTGTTAATCTTCAGAAACTCCAAACTGTTGTTTCTGCTGTAGATTTACTTGGTATTCAGTAACCCTGGCCCTTTATTCCTTAACTGTTAATAATAAGCTCTGGGTCTCCTCACTGGCTGCCAGTGAGCGGGACTGTCATCCTTAGAATGAGGAAGTTAAGTTTCAGAAAGATCCACTTAGTTCAGTTGTCTTGAAGATGTGAGTCACAGGGCAGTCCACTGAGGCGTGGGAAGGAAGTGTTAGTACTTCTATTTAACTTCAAAAAATCTGCTTTTAAAATTTATACTTTTATGTTTGCTTTATAATATAACATAAGTAGTAACATATAACTTATAAATTCACATTGGAAGGCTTTCACAATTCTTTTTTTAAACTGTTGGGAGTTACACATGATCTGAAGTTTGGAAACCATGACCTCTGGACTACTCTCCTTACTTTATAGTTGAGCAGTGTCTGCTGAGAACTAACAAATGTGCAGGGCTAACAGCGAAATGACACTAGTGCAAGGTCCAGCCAGAGGTTAATCCATTTCTTTCTCCTTCTGCATTGATTGAGCAGGTGGCTGTTGGTTAAACTGGGATATCAGAATAGTAGTACGTACTTTAAATATTCCGTTTATGAATATATGTTCATTAACTGCTTCTTTCTTAAATGCAGGACAAGGCCTTTCTTTGATTATGAGCCGCTGGTTAGCGTTTTTGTTTACTGTATGTCCAGAAGGCTTTGTCTAAAATTTTCAGTTTCACTTCCTTTAGAGTGGACTGAAAAAATAGTTTCAAAGCAGCCTGAGTGCAGAATCCTTCCAAGTGTTTTAGGCTTTTTTTCACTGAAGCCTGTATACTTAAGTCACCAGCACAATATTGAATTAAACTGTACTTATAGTGACATACAGGTGGGATGAACAGATTTGAAACCAAACACAGCCGACCTTTGGTGACTGTACAAAACATCATTCAGCTGGTGGGAGATGTAGTTCTCAGGTGTGCTGCAGCGTTCTGCCAGAGCTGGCAGTTCGCATGTGAGGGACATCAGTGGTATGGCGGGTGAGGGAGCTTAAGTCGGAACTGGAGAGTATCTGTTCGTCTGGGGAGCTGCTAAAGAGAGTTTCTGTTCTTTCTTACTCTGCTCACTTCTCTGTCTCTGGGCCCCTAGAATTACAGAAATACTGTAGTGTTCCCCATCCTGTGGATCATATAAATCACATATCTAAGTTGCTCAGGGTGTGAATTCTTTGCCCCTTATTTGGCTTTTTTTTATTTTAAAAATTTTCAGACATTCTCAAACTTACAGAAAAATTTGCAAATACAGTTCCAAGAGCTTTCTTTCCTTGAACCATTTGAGAGTAAGTTGCCGGCTTAATGTCCCTTTAGCCTTGAGGACTTGAGTATTTCTCACAAACAGGGACATTCTTCTACATAACCATAATTCAGCCATCAAAATGAGAGAATTAATACTATATGTTACTGTCTAATCCTCAGATCCCATTCAAGTTTTGCTAAATGCCTCAATATTATATATAAAATTTAAAAATATCTTTTTGAGCAGGAGTTATAATCAACTCTGCTTTTACTTCATACATGTAAAATACTGTTTTTTTCCTTTAGTGACTTGGTCAACTGGCTCTTTTTAGAAAGATAGCCCCAGGTACAGGAGGATTTTTTTCTATGTCAAAAATCTTTCAGAATAGAATATTAAAAAGTATTCTAACTGGTTTTATTAAATCACATATTTATTGAGCATCTATTATGTTTCAGGCTCGCAGCCACAGAATCATGGTGCTGTGTCCTAAAATATCTTAAGTGTTTTCTTCCTTGATATTAGAGACATCATTCAACATTTTATAATAATAATCGTGTCAAAACTGTGTTTAGGCCAAAATACAAATAAAGAAAACATAGTAGAATCATTTGAAACTTACATTTACAGGTCACATATCATGAGCTCCAGGCTTTGTTTAAAGTAATAGTTTTTCTTTAACCTATGAAGGTAAGAGAATGGTTGTAGGGAATAAGGTAAAGAAAAATTTCCTAAGAAACTTCTTCGTTTTCACTATTTATTCATACAGGAGTTTAGACTAAGATCTGGGTTTAGACTCTTGTTTCTTTGTCCTGTGAGTAACATGTGCAAGAGGTGGTGGGCCGCATGAGTACAGTTCCGGGCGTCACTGTCAGTGTGTCTGAGATGAGACGTGCTTCTGCCCCGTGTCCCTGGTATTCCTCACCCAGTGATGCTTCCAAAAAGAGACCTTTTAGGTGGGGATTACAATCTACTGAGAGTTACAGTACTCAGTCCTGGTTTATACTTTCTAGGGCCTCAGAAGCTCGGGAATTGGCCCGGGAAGTCCCTAGACAAGTGGCTTCTCACAGGAAGGGGCCTGGGCTGCATCATTGCTTGGCACCTTGATTGGTATTCGCACTAGGCTTTACGATGAGTCTGTGCTTTTGGCAGTCCTTCCCTGTGAGTCATCCACTGGTCCTGCCCTCAAACCTGCAGTGCCTGCAGCGTGACAGCCACTGTGCTAGGCACATACAAAGATGACAAAAACACGAATCCCTCTCTGAGGGGCTACAGTCTAGGGAGGGGAAACAAAAAAAATAGCGTAGCGATGATTGAATTATGTATGTGAAGGATATGCTATGGGTCCAAACCTAACAAAAGTCTTTGTAGAGGACATTGGAAAGTCTGAGCCTTCATGGCAACATAAGAGATGGGTGGTGGGGATGGGGCATCTGAGTAGTGACGAGTATTTCTTTGGAAAAGTAGGATGTGGTGGTAGCCTAGCTTGACGTGTATCCCCTCGTTAATCACCAGTGTTGACTTGACTGTTCCACTAGTTAGAAGGGGTTCCTCTCTCTCTTCCCTGTTCTACACACATTGCTCATCTCACGCAGACTTCCCAGTGAAGCTGTGCTTTCTGTTGAAGAATGAAAAAGCACGTATCCCTAGGGAAAGTGAGAAATGGTAGAGAACTCAGCTGGGAGCTGGAAGTTACCTGGGCTCTGGTCCCAGTTCTCCCACTGATTAGCTGTATGACCTTGGACAGATCACTTAACCTTTCGGAGACAGTTTCTTCAGGTGTAAAGTGAGAATAATAATTCTCCCTCGGCTGCCCCATGGGATTGAGGAGAGTCAGATGAGACAATGTGTAATCTGCTACAGTTTACAGAGGGCTCTCATACACGTGAACAGTCTTCCTTTTGTTCTTTTATGGGTTTCTATTTTTAATAAACTTCCTCCTTTAAAGTGCGTTTGAATGTGTGTAATTTGGACTCAGGTAGACACTAACTGTACGGATTCCTTTCTCCCTGCCTTGCAGTATAGCCATATCAGTTATTTTTCCATTGAGAGAATATAATTGATGCTTTAAAAAAAGTCTTTTGTAGAATCTAATTTCCATTTCACCATTGAGAAAAAATGTATGATTCATGTGACTTCTTAAAGGGATATTCTTTAGTTTATCTTCAGCTGAACCAGGAGTTATGTATTTATTTTTCAACTTCTGTCTTTATAGGATCTTTAATGATTTGCTGCTTTGGGAACCAACAGCTCCTTCACCAGTAGAGACATTTGAAAATATCTCATACGGTATTGGGCTTTCAGTAGCCAGTCAGCTGATTAATACCTTCAGCAAAGATAGTTTTAGTCCATTTAAATCTACAGTTCACTATGGTAACGTATTTTAAATTTCTTCTGAATTAAATGCCTGGTTTATCAGTAAACAAAGTAGTAACCTTTTACATTGATGGATTTAAAATTTTTCTTTGATGTTTTCCACTTTTAACTATGTTTTATAATACCTTTTAGTAAGTTACAGTATTTCCCCACTTCTAGATGTTTATTAAGAATTTTATTAATGTTATTTTTATAATGATAGTATATACATTGCCTGAAGTTCAGTGGTGAAGAGAAAAACATAGAAAGTACATTTTTATAGTATGTCAGATCCTTTGTAAAAATAATGAGATTGTAAAATAAATAAATATTCTTGTGATAATGTTCAAATTTGAATGCTGTTTTAGTAAGCTGATAGAAGAGCTGTAATTGTGACGTTTGTTTCTCATAGATGAGGAGAGTGGATCTGAGGAGGAGACTCTGCAGTATTTTTCTACTGTTGATCACAATTATCGTTCCCGTAGGAAAAAAAAACTAGACTCTCAGAACAAGAACTCACAGAGTTTTCTCTCGGTCCTTCTGAGTATTAATCATGGATTGATGGCAGTGTTTACAGATGTAAAGGTAAAGATTTATAAATCCAAAATGATTTTTCAAGTGTGTCTTATTTTAAGTCTACCGCAATACCCACGTCTAGTAATTGAGGCAGTTAGAGGCTGTTTCAGTGATGATGAAGGTCAGTTTTCTGATGCATACCACAATGACAGCACCTTTGGAAATTTAGCTTTCATTGCAGATCAAAAGGCAAACATTACATGGACCTTCTTTTGGAAAACGTGCTGGTTCTACTCCAGAGATGGTAGCTAGTAATTTATCTACAATAAAGGAGGATGAAGTACAGGGATTCATTTGGCAGAAGAGGCCCTGGGGTGCATAGCATTTAATTATTCAGTTTTTAATATGTTGGATGGTTCAGGACTCAGATCACTGTGCTACTATCTGGGAGTACCTCCCAAGCTGAATCAAGAAGGAGCATCTCAAGGGTCATTCTTAATTTTCTGCATTTAATTAATGACTTCTGTGTTCTTCTGATCTTATTAGCAGGATAATGGAGATCTGTTGGAAAACAAACATGGTGAATTCTGGTTAGAATTCAATAGTGGTTCGTTATTTTGCGTGACAAAATATGAAGGTTTTGATGACAAGCACTACATCTGCCTTCATTCTAGCAGCTTCAGTCTCTACCACAAAGGTAGGACAAATGTTAAATATGTGTTTTGTTCACTTCTGGTTAGACATGTTTACATTTTGCTTAATAAAGAAAATCTATTGAGAATAGAACTCTTGATATTAGAAACTATTTTCTGTGGAGTGTTTTGATTCCAGTGGCAAAGTAATAATTATTGTTGATTATAAGTTGACTTTATGTTCTTTTTTGGCAATAACTTTATTGAGATATAATTTACATACCATACAGTTCACCCATTTAAGGTATACATTTTAATGATTTTTAGTATTTCGCAGAGTTATGTAACCATCATCACACTCAACTGTAGAACATTTCATCACCCCCAAAGGACAGTCTGTACCCTTTAGCTATAAACCGCCACAGCCCTCCAGTGCCTGCTAGCCCTAAAACCACTGATCTACTCTGAGTCTCTATGGATTTGCATATTCTGGCTGTTTCATATAAATGGACTCATACACTAAAAGGTCTTTTGTGGCTGGTACCTTTCATTTAGGATGATGTTTTTAAGGTTCATACAAATGTATCAGTGTTTTATTGCCAAGTAATATTCCATTTTAGGGATTATACCATGTTGTATTACCCATTGATCAGTTGATGGGACTTTACATTCTTCATTCTCTCTTAAGTGTTATTTCCTTTTAGTAACAGGTAGCAGAATTTACATTCTTTGAGCACATTCCTTGTGTTACTTTGTGAATAGAAATAAGATACTTACACATTCTTAGTGTTTATCAAATTTTATTTAAAGTTAACTTTCCTAGCATTTCAAATCTGTTTTTTTTTTTTAATTGGGTACTGTCAGTCATATCAACATTAGTAGAGAAGAAAGGATTATTAATCCCAAACTGGTTCTTGGTTATTTTGCCTCCAGGATTATGTTTGTGTGTATATTCAATGGAAGTACATGGACTTTTGTTTTGAGTTACAGAAGTTAGTGACTTAATTTCAAATAATCATTTTGTTGTATTTTCACCTTATTGTGGATACAGGCATGGTGGATGGAGCAATTCTTCCTACAGAAACACGACTACCCACTTCAACCCGCCCACATTGGCTGGAACCTACTATTTATTCCTCTGAAGAAGATGGCCTCAGTAGAGCTGCTTCAGATGGTGTTGGAGGAGAGGCTTTGAATATGCTCTCTGTTGCAGTTAAAATATTGTCTGATAAATCAGAGTCCAATACAAAGGTTTGTGTTTTGTACTTTTTATACCATTAAGTACTTGTTGCTGATTTGATTACTAGTTAAAAATGACTGCATAAATGCAGCACATTTATTTTCTTAGAAAAACTTTTCAAGTTTTTGAATTAGAGAGTTATGTAGGTGATACATCTAAGTCTCTGTCGCTCTGTATAGGAATTTCTCATTGCTGTAGGACTGAAAGGAGCCACTCTCCAGCATAGAATGCTTCCTTCTGGGCTTAGCTGGCATGAGCAGGTAAGAGAGCTGTTATGTATGAACTGATTTATCTTTTACTTTATTGGTCTATAATACACATACTGGAAAAGTTAATAATTCATAAATGTTCAGTGCTTATTGGATTTTCATGAAGTAAACACTCCAGTATAAACACTACCTTTTATAGTTAGGAAATAGAACATTATCACCACCCCAGGATATAATTGATTTTTTACCTTAAAGCTTGGTTCCTGAATATCTCGAAAACAATGTTATCTTTTATGTCACTAAAGGGAAGGACTTCTGCGTCCCAGGACCTGTCGAGTGCCTGGCGTAGAGGACAGTGAATGATGTGGTGACTTGCACTACAGCCATCTGCGCTTTAAGTGCCATCATTTTAGAATTATTCCCTGGGCCAGCAACATGCTTTGAGGAATTTATGAGGATTTCTGTAATTAATTTCCAGTGTAATAACTGTATGTGGTTGCTTACCTTTTTCAGAGGAAACTTTGGGTAAGAAGTTAACTCTTCTATATGAGGAGGAAAACTAGCACACTGTGACCCTTGTTCATTTTCCTTAGAAGAGAAACCTTTTCTTTGTGCTGGGAAAATAATAAATTGTTCTAAACTTGAATGTTAGAAACTTTCTGAAACATAAAATACATATATAGAATATATAGAGTCGGGGCTAGAGAGATGGTTAGTCAACTAACTGGTTGTAAGGGAGAGATTTAGCTCACTCTTTTTATTTAGATAGAAATATAGCAGAATAAATGTTGGTGAGAAGGACTGGTTTTCAGACTGAGCCGGCTATAAACTAAGGAAAGAGAACTTCTCCCAACAATGGATTGTATAGAAAACCAGACGGAGAGTTTTAAACAGTCTTTAGCAAAATTTGTTTTTTTCAAGAATTATTCCAAGCAAAGTAATGTTGAAAGTATATTATACATACTTTGTTAGTTTCAGAGGATATGATTTTTCCAAGGTCTCTCTGTAGCATTGCAATTGTTAGATGGGCCTCTTCATTTCAAATTCTAGTTTTGCAAATACTTTTTGAAATGAATTCCTTTAAAATGATTTTTTTCTTCACACGGTATGATTTTCCACTAAATGGTTGCTTTTTTGTGAGCTATTTTATTTTACATTGATGTTAAGGATATCATATCAAAACTTTTTTTTTCTTCTAAAGCAGGGCATTTTATATTTTTGTGATTATAGATTTTATACTTCTTGAATATTGCTGATGAACCTGTTCTGGGATACAATCCTCCAACTTCATTTACAACCTTCCATGTTCATCTCTGGAGCTGTGCACTTGATTATAGGTTAGTTCATAAATGGAGCAAAATAAAGTTTGATTCTTTAAAATATGTACTAAGTTTTGAAAAAATGTATAATTCAGTAGAGTTAAGGTTCAGAATGCTCTTTAAAGGGAGTTTCTTTTGTTGCAGCAGACTGATGTTCTCTTGTTTCTTTCTTTCTTTTTTTTTCTGATTGAAGTATAGTTGATTTACAATCTTGTGTTAATTTCTGGTGCACAGCATAGTGATTCATTTTCTCTCGTTTCTTTGTGATATTAGGCCTCTTTATTTGCCAATTCGCTCTCTTCTTACTGTGGAAACATTCAGTGTTTCAAGTAGTGTTTCCTTGGATAAATCATCATCTACTCTCAGGTACCCGCGCAAACTTTATTTACTATACTAAATGCTTACACTGTGTACTAAATGCATCTGTTCCAAATGTACTAACAGAGGTTTATTTAAACCCTTTGATTAAAGTCTCGATCTTCTGTTAAAATCAACATTCTTTTTACTATCAATCATGTCCCTTTATCCAAGTTTTCAGTTTTTCATTCTTAGATGATTTGTCTCATCTCTTATGTTTGTTACTATATTTCATTTTTAGGGAGGAAATTAATTCTTGAGACTGTTAGTTTTCTTTTTAAAACATATATATAAACTTCCCATAACACCTGATACACTTCATTTTCCTAATTTAAACCTTGTGAATTTAAAACTACTGAAAATTTAGAATTAATTTGAGCAGATGATTTAATCTTTCTTCACATCATTAAAACTTTTCTATACCGATAAACAGTGAATTTTAAAGATATGTTACATGATGTAAGTTAGAAACTGCATATGACTTTGACTATATATATATATATATCAGAAAGAATGGTGTGACTAAGTCTATAGTGATCATGTGACATATATTTAAGGTTAGTATTTTAGATCTTGAGTTTATCTTTTTTTTCCAGAATAATCTTGGATGAAGCTGCTTTACACCTGTCTGACAAGTGTAATACTGTCACTATAAATTTGAATAGAGGTGAGAGTTAGAAAACAAAATCTGGTATAGATAAATGCTCTTTTATTTTTTGTATGTGAATATTTTAAAGCATTTTAACTCTGTAATAATGCCAAAGAACTAAGGCTGTTATCAGTTTAAATATTGTAATATCAGTGTGTGATATAAGTAACATTGATGAAATGCATCAAATTATATACTCTGTTTAATATCAAGCAAATTTTATTTCTAACTAAAAATAAACTGTAGGATTTTTGTGGGATGATACTATATTTCCATTACATTATGAGTATTTGCAGGACTACTTGCCATGACTTTTAGAGAAATGCTAGTTTATTAGGTGTTGGTTGGATAAACATTTTTTGAAAGTTAACAGACATTTTATTTTATTTTAAAAAAATTTAGATTATGTTCGTGTGATGGATATGGGGCTTTTGGAATTAACAATAACTGCAGTGAAGTCTGATTCTGATGGAGAGCAAGTAAGTTATTAAAATAAATGGATGTTTTTATTTAAATCTTTTTTATAGAAGACATTAAAAACATACTGAACTTACTGTAAAGTTATTTTTCTGCTTACCTAATTTTGGTCAAAAATAGAGAAAATATTTTATTAAGATTGAGGTATTATAAATATGTATTTCCTGTGACAAGACAAATTATATTTTATTTAATGTAAACCTACATTAAAGTTTTTTTTTCCTCTTGTTTTGGAAAACACTTTTATCCTTTTCTCCCCCTCTGTCCTGTCCAGACTGAGCCGCGCTTTGAATTACACTGTTCGAGTGACGTTGTCCATATCAGAACGTGCTCGGACTCTTGTGCTGCGTTAATGAATCTCATTCAGTACATTGCAAGCTATGGGGACTTACAGGCAGCTCACAAAGCAGACATGAAGCCTGGAGCCCCTCAAAGAAAGATGAAGGTACAGTTGCCAGCATCACTGATTAGAACTCATTCACGCCTGCCCTACTCCAGCCGCATGAGTGACTTGTTTACATCAGGGAGGTCTTCCTGACAGTCGTAGGGTGGGAAGGAAACTTTGAAATATCGTCTCTCTGTTCTTTACTTTCAAAGTGATGGGATCTGGGAAGGTGACTCCGTGAGCCTTTTTGGAAAACTATTCTGCTGTTTGATACTTTTTGTTTCAGAACATTAATCTTCTCAGCCAACATACTTTTTTCCAGGCTTAAGTTATTTTCCTGTGTCCTCAGGGAAGAAAGCATTTATCATGTAGAAGCCTGTTACATGCAGGTTGTATGTAGAAATGCCGTGAGGAAACAGAGGGCAGGCGGTCGAGTTATCACCAGGGCCTGACCTGTATTATATTATCTTCTATGTTTGTTAACCTGCAGTGCTATCCAGAGGTCAGTCTGCTTTCTCACATGTGATTTCCTTTGACCTAGTGCGATAGAAAGTTTAAAAATTATCACCTCTATTTTATAGATGAACAGGTCAAGACCCAGCGAATTTAGGTAATACGCCCTAATTAGTAGCAGGCATAGTAGCAACAATACCCAGATTTTTTGATCCCCTGTTCAGTGCTTTCTTATGCCCCTAGCTGTCACCTGTCTGCCTTCTTTTATGTCCAGATTGAACAGTGTCCAGTTTGTTTAGCATTTTCAGGGCTTTCATTCTTCTTCATGGCCTCTTCTGTGAGCAGAATTCTCAGTCCCCTTAGGTGAACAGAGTTTCCAGTAAGGGTCTGACACACCTCACATTACCTTCTGTTTGGGCTGTCTTACCCCTCAGTTGTGTTACACTTCTGTTTTTGATTCCTTGTTCCTGTTATAGTCTCCCTGATAATGAAGTGATTTATGATACTCTGCTGTTTCTTCTCTTTTTAAAAAGAATCTCTATTTTATTAAAAGTTATTTTAAATGATCCATTTCTCCCCCAGCTTTACTGCAGTTTTTTCACCTTCCTTCTCTCCTGAGGTATTACCTCTTCAAGATTGCAGTTCACTGTGCTGGCCTTGAGTGTTAACACATTTATTTCTGTTTGCCAGTAGTTGCTGGGATAAAAATGATGATACTGAATACTTAAAATGAAAATGTAGCAGCTGCTGGGTGGAACATAGGAAAATGAATATGTTCTTGTTTCTGGTGTTTTTGTAAAATGTGGTGTACATCGCGGACAACATAAATGCTAAGTGGTTTGCTTCTTAGAGCGTTTTCAGTTGTTTTTAATTAAATTGTTTGGCTGTAGGTAGATTCCAGTGGTCGATCATCCTCACGTGGCCCAGTTCTTCCTGAAGCAGATCAACAGATTTTACGAGATTTGATGAGTGACGCTATGGAGGAAATTGACACACAGGAGGCCGCTTCGTCGGTAAAGCCACAGTCTAACGGTGAGACCGCCAGGATGTTCCCTGGGAGCTGGGAGCTTGTGGTTGAGGCTTACGTTATTTGCGTTCTTACCAGTTCCTCAATAAGTGACTTATTAAAGGAAAGACAAGTCTGAGTTCTGGTGGATGTTTATTATTCAGCTTGTGTTCATTGAGGGTCTAGTAGAGAAGTGACATTGGCCAGACAGAGTGTTGTGGCAGATGCAGAGGAGGCGGGTGACGCAGCATATGTTTTCTGGTAGCTTATGGTTTAGTGAAACAAGTGAGCCCTAAACCAGACTGACGCTAGTGCGCGAACAATTGAGAAATGATACAAGGAAACGCTTCAGAATGTGGTATATGCTCTGACCACTGTTCAGAAAGGATGGGAGTCCTTTCGTTAGGCTTCAGTGGAAGTGAGATGAGTTGGCTTTTAAAACGTGGGTAGGACTTAGGTATGTAGAGGAGAGAGAAAAGAGAATTTTGGCAACGTCTTAACATGGACAGAGGCCTGTGTGAGCCTTAATGATCTAGTAACTCAGGTTATTGATACTGGAACAAACGTTCCCTTCTTATTAAAAAGAATCAGACAATAATGTTGAATAAGCAGGGAGGAACCAGACCGAGAGCTTTGAAAGCCAGGTGGAAGCATCTAAATATTTTGAAGTATCTATCTAAAAATACCTCTTTCTAATTGGATGAACATAGCTATTTCTATATGTTATGAAATCTTAAATTTTTAAAAAATTATTTCATAGTGTTAAAAAGTTTAGTATTAAAAGTTCTTTTCATTCTAATATAGAATAAATTAGAGCTAAGGAAGCAAATGGGAGCTTTTAGCTCCCTGTGTACTAACATTATTTGTAATAAATCTTAGCAGCTAATCTACTTATGTGGGAAAGGATATTTAATGAATATTTACTGAGCAGCTTGAACATAAAAGAGTCTGTGCTGAGCCCTGGGCACTCGACAGGGATGAGCAGGCTCCACGTGCTGCCGGGGAAGGATTTAAAACCTAGTCTGTGAGCCTCCTGAGGCAGAAGTGTCCCTGTTCGTTCATCTTTGTGATCCTAGTCCATATCACTGGGTTTGGTTTGAATGAATGAATAGAGAAAGATTTAGCGAATTTAACAATAATTAATATAAATTTACCAAAATCCATGTTCACGTACAGATTTTGACACACATGCAGCCTTTTGTGTACGTCATCCTGAGAGAGCTGCCTGAAAACAGGTATCCTGTTTGGATATCCAGTTCTCCAAGAAGTGGTCTTTTCATTACGTGGGATCAGTTGCTGGCCTAAGACATGCTTGGCGAATGTCTCCCCCACCCCTTTCACAAGCAGAGATTTCCTGCAGTTTGAGGGGAGGCACTGCTAGATGTAACTAGTTTCCCCTCCACTTGCTGTATTGTCCAGGAAGTTTCTTGGAGAACTCCACCCATAGGACGTAACTGTCAATATGAAATTCTGGCTAAAATGGAACTCTGGTCAACACTGGTCAGCTGGTGCTGACTTCCTGATCTTTTCTGACACTAAATAACTTAAGAGGAAACTGTAGCTTTGAGACCATTACTTACTGTTTTCTTAGAAAACTTCAAACTTGTTATTAGTCATTTTATTAGTAGTCAGAGAGTTATTGTAAGAATGAGATATAGCAGACAGAAGCACTAACAATATGTATCTCACACATGGTTAAAATGCTTAATAAACGTTCGTGTTGTTGATGTTTCAAAATGTGCAAAAATTGAATGTTGTAATCTTTTTACCTAGGTGTTTTGGATGAAAAATCTCAAATTCAGGAGCCATGTTGTTCAGACCTCTTCCTGTTTCCAGATGAGAGTGGGAACGTGTCCCAGGAGCCTGGCCCCACTTATGCCTCATTCACACACCACCTGATAAGTGATGCAGTGACAGGCGCGCCCACAGAGAATGACGACTTTTGTATTCTTTTTGCACCAAGAGCAACGATTCAGGTAATAAATTGGTAACATAATTGAGATCTTAAAGTAGTGTTACAAGTTATATTGACCAAAGGGTACCTGAAAAAAAATTCTTTAGGTTTTGTTTACTCTTTACAGTTCAGAATTACTTCCTTTTGTAACTTACTATTGACACTTTGCAAATATTTATTATACTTTACTTTTTTTTATGACACGTCTCTCAGATGCAGGAAAATGCTCCATATTTGCAGAAATCTCCTGCATAGTTTTTGAACTACAGAGACAGTAAGCAGTAAGATACATCTTCAGGATAGTGAAATTAAATATCAGAAGGGAGTGCTGTACAGAGTTGCTTACCCAAGATCTGGGCGAAATAAGATGTGGTTTATGTGAAGACATTCGTTAATATATAATTTCCATTTTAGAATCATGCTTACATTTAAAAAGCATGGTCTGGATTTAATGAATGTACAGCTCACTAAAAATGGTTAAGCATTGGTGCTGCAGTTGAACCCCATGAATTACCATTTAGTGTATATTTGTACTAAATTGCTTAGTAGTAATTTAGTAAGTGAAGGTATTTATTTTACTAAGTTCTGGGAAATTAAAAAAAAAACAAAAGCAATCAAATTCAGGGTAAGCTCATTAGGAAAATGATAATTTGGTCAGTATGTTGAAGTATGTCAAGTTTGGAATGCAATATTGACTTTGAATTAAGGGACTATACACACAAACACACTTATACAATCTGTACCTTTTTATTATCAAATCAGTAGTAAAAGCTAAATTGTAGACCATAAAAAATTCTTATGGAGTGATTCACATAGAACAAGAAGTTCATTTTATGGTTAATGAAGGAGAGTGTCTTATGTAATGATTAATATCAATATTACTGGATTTTATATGTTGAAATTATTAGAAAGTATGCAGAATCAAGAAATCCCCTTCGGATATGCACCATAGTCAGTGATTTCTGCTTAGATAAGAGAGTATGTGTTATCTGTTTCTTTGTCGTAGGAGAAGGAAGAGGAGCCAGTTGTAAAAATAATGGTTGATGATGCAATTGTGATAAGAGATAATTACTTTAGCCTGCCTGGTAAGAAGACAGATACGAGCAGAGCGCCCTTACACTTTCCCATTCCTGTAATTCGTTATGTGGTTAAAGAAGTCTCTCTTGTTTGGCACCTTTATGGAGGAAAAGATTTTGGAACAGCCCCTCCTACTTCTCCAGCTAAAAGTTATATGTAAGTTAACTTCCACGTAAGTTTATTTGGTAGGCCAATAAATTCTTTTCATAGAAAAATAATAGAATTTATCCTTTTAAGAATTACTAATAAAGTAGTATTAAAAACTATAAATTAAATGTTAAAGTTTTCCATTTGGAAACTTATTTGCATTTTTTGTATTTTTTCTAAAATATGATGACTTAAGCCATTTCCATTCGGAAATAATTTTCGGGTACCTACTATGTGCCAGGGCCTGTGTGAGAGGCACATTCACTAAAATGAATAAGACTCAGACCCTGTCCTGTGTTCAAAAGGGAGAGACGGTTATGTGAGCAAATGAGGGCAGTGACGTGAAGTGTGTATCGTCAGGAGGCAGGGACCATGCCTGCCCCTGAATCTCCAGCATCCAACAGAGTACCAGGCATAGAGTCACTGCTCTGGAAGTACCTGTTAAATGAGTACATTATTCAATAGTTGTAGAAGAGAACTAGAGAGACTAGGTACCATCCTGGCAAACATTCTCACTGGGGTGGGGAGGGTTAGAAAAGGCTTCATGGAGTGGTAAACTTTGGCACAACATTGTAGTGACTTTTTCTGTTTAAAGCTGCTTTCAAAAAAAACTTAGAACTTTACTGTAATTCTTTTCTGTATTTGGAATTTCTAGGACTTGTACTCTGTCAGGGGTTTCTGAAGTAATAAGGAACTCCTCATAAGGAGGTCTCATTTCTAAGTCTGTCTTGTAACATGAACACCAACATCATAGTTAGGGTTTTCTGTGTAGTTTTAAATATTTAGCAAGCAGATGGTTGCTGTGATGTCAGTAATAAATGTTCTCAGTGTCTCCAAGGTATAAGGTGTGGCTTTGTTTTATAACAGTACAATTTGTGCCAGTGTTTTGATAGTTCTGTATTTTCTGTATCTCATTTTCTCTTTTCATCTTGTTATTTTTTTCTGATGTCATTCATTCCCTTTCTTGGAACATTCCTTTAACAAAAAATTTTATTTTTTCATTTATAGTAGTCCCCACAGCTCACCTTCTCACACACCCACAAGACATGGACGTAATATGGTATGTGGGGGAAAAGGAAGAAACCATGACTTTTTGATGGAGATACAGTTAAGCAAGGTAAGATGGCATTTTGAAAGGAAAAATCTGATGAAGTAGGAGCATTAGTTGGGGGTTCTTTAGTTACTCCTTGCCCCTCTCTGCCATGTGGTCTTGGGCTGTAAGTGGAAAAGTGCAGGGGTCGTGTATAAAACTCTCACCTCTTTTTCTTTCTCAAATGTTCTGAGAAGATTTGAGGTTTCTGTTCTTGTCTCCCAGGCCCCCCTAGAGCAGTGTGTCTCAGAGTTGAGAAGCTTCAGAATGCCCTTGAGGGCTTGTTAAAACCCAAGTTGCTGGGCCCCAGAGTTTCTGATAAGTAGGTCTGAGGTAGGGCCCGTGAATTTGCATTTTTAATGAGTTCACGGGTGACTCTGAGTCACTCTTCCCAGGATCACACTTGGGGAACCTCTGCCCTGGAGTATCTACCTGGGAAGGCCCATCATTGGGCAGCACATGGGTCAGGTCCTTTGTGAACGCTGGGAGACCCTTGGGCCTGGCTGCCAGTGATACTGTACACATTTAACTCCGTCAGCTTGTCTGGGGTTGTGCTAAATGTCTTATGTTAGGGTGCTTAATGTAGAAATATTGCAATGATAACAATCCTATATGTTTTATTGTGTCCTTGCTCTCTTTTGGAACTTGAACCCCATCTCCACTGATTCTTTTTCAAGCAATTTTGTAAGTTTGCAAGCTGATAATTGGATGGCTTGTTCCTGTTGAGGGTTTTGCTTGGAAAGAATAGGGATTTTACCAAGGTCAACTAAGAAGTACAGTCAGCCTTATCCTTGTCTAGTTGCGGACATGTAGGTTAATAAATAAACGTGAAACAAATGAAGGCATGTGCTGTTCTCTGAAAATGAAATTAGGAGCTGAGGATTCAAAGAAAATGAGTGATATTTTGCATTTTTGAGAAAAAAATCTGATTTAAATAAAATGTACAGCTTGTTCTGTGTTTTTTCTTGTCTGTAAAGGTGAAGTTTCAGCACGAGGTCTACCCGCCCTGCAGACCAGAATGCGACTCCAGCCTCCTGGAACACCCGGTCTCCCGGCAGGTGTTCATCGTGCAGGATCTTGAAATTCGAGATCGTCTGGCAACATCACAAATGAATAAGTTTTTGTACTTGTATTGCAGTAAAGAAATGCCTCGAAAAGCTCATTCCAACATGGTAAGATTTAAAACTTCATAGATTTTGTTGTTGATGTTAGTTTTGGAAAAGTATTTTTATTATATCTAATGCAGAAGATGTAGATTGGGGAAAATTATGAGATTTTTTTTTTCTCATTTTAATGTGCAAATCCCTTTTAAATGTTGCTTAAAGTTACAGGTTTTAAAAATTATTTTGCATGCCATTTCTGTAGTTACCAAATGCATTGACACTTGAGGAAAACCAGAAGTCTGGAATTGTCTACACAAAATACTTACACGCAATTGCTGGCAGTGTTCCAGGTGTCTAATCCTTTAAAAATTTTAGTAGAACAGAATTGATCAGCTCAGGGCTTCTAGAAGAAAACGTCATAGAGGTTGTCTTGGAATGTGGGTCTGTGGCTTAGCTCAGGGGTTCAGCAGACTCCTTTGAGGTTATAAGTACAGCGTTATCATTTGCATTTTTTGCCCTCAAGAGGATCTGTATCTTTCACCAGATTCTTGAAAGAGTGTGTGACCAAAAAAAGTTAGATTCAGACTTTTAAGAAAGGAGGGTGAACAGCTCTGCTTTCTGTTCTAATATAGGGACTAGACATAGGATTTTTTTCTTTTTTCTTTTTTCTTTTTCCTTTTTTTAATGAAAAGAAGGTCATAATATCATTGAGGGGGAAATGCGTTTCTTTTTCTCATCTTGTAGTTGACAGTTAAAGCATTACACGTGCGCCCCGAGTCTGGCAGGTCACCACAAGAATGCTGCCTCAGAGTGTCACTGATGCCACTTCGCCTCAATATTGACCAGGTTTGTATTGCAAGCATAATTCATGGAATTATGATCAAACATATACCCCACATTCAGAAAGAGAGATTTAATGTAGTAGAATTATAATGTTCATTATTGTTTAACTTTTATGGGAGTTGCATAATTACAACAGACTTTTGCTGATAAAGAACAGGGCAAATTCATGAGGTATTTGGAATCTGAACTGTTAGTGAGCAGACGATATTGTCTCCTCCTCACTGTCTGCGCGCCGTAGCACTTAATAACTGCTTCTCGTGTTTTCTCTTATCTTTACACACATACCCCTAATGCAGGTATACAGGTGTTTTCAGGTATTAAAGGACCCCCTGATATATATTATTGAAAAATACAGGGGATTGTGGTTTAATCACAGCACCTGGAAGAGAATTTCTTCTTCCCTGGACAGAATGACAAATTATTCATTTATGGAAAGAGATACAAAGAAATCCACTTTCCTGTATTCTAGCAAGCTTCCCATCAAATTCTGGGTTTTGCTGTGACCCAGAGAGATGTTTAAAACTCAGTTGATGCCTCTTCTACAAACTTCATTCAAGATACACGAAGATACGATGCTCTGTAGTAATGCACTGTAGGGGTGAAGAGCGTGGGCTTGGAGTCAGGCCTGGGTTTCAGTGTCAGTTCTCTTACTGAATGTGTGGCCTTGAGTAACTTAACTTTCCAAGCCTGCTTTCTTCACTGATAAAATGAAAAAGGTAGTAGTATATGTAGCATCATTTTTTTTTTAAAGAGGATTAAATGAGACTAGTGTATGTAAAACACCTAGATTGGTGCCTGGCACACAGTGCTAAAGATCAGAAATGTTAACTGTTAATATTATTAACAGAAGCATATAACAACTGTAGAAAATAAATGGGGTTGGTTTTTTTTTAATAATCTGCTTTTGAAGTAACAAGATCCTCCTGTTGTAGAAAATAAATGGAGGGTTTTTTTTTTTAATAATAATCTGCTTTTGAAGTAACAAGATCCTCCTGTTGTACCTTATATTGATGTAAGCTCAGGTTTGAAAGTAGAGTATATGTGGGGTGGTGTTATCTGTTTGCTTAAAAAATATTGATTGGATAATGTTAATGCATTATTAAATAAGTAACAGATATATTAGGAATAATCTTAAATAACATTTATATTATAAACAAAATATACCACATATTTATCTCAGAGAAAATGTATCGTGAAACACAGGAATTTAGCACAACTTTACATTAATATTTATAGCTTCTGAGCTGAGCAGACTTACCAGTGAGACTTTAGATTTATGTTGTCTCATGAGAAGAACATCTTTTGAAACCCATACTTTAATTTGTCCATTCAGCCTTGTAGAAATATGATGAATTATTTATGGAAAATTAGATCTGTGAAAATCACCAGTGTGAGCAAGAATTTGAGCAAGATTTATCTTTATGGCATGACTTTACTAGACTTAGCAAGTCCAGTTTTCTTTAATAAAGCTTTAATATTGAGCTTAATTTCTTTTTTAGAACAATAAAGCATTATGATTTTAAAATGGAGAAATAGTAATCTTAGCAAAAACAATCGGGGAAATAAATTTTATGACTAAACTGGGGAGGGATGGGAAATTATTCCCTAGGATATGGGACCTACAGAAACAAATCATGCTACAAATACATATGCCTTAACGAGGAATATTATGATACAAAAGAGGCCTTTCTGGTTTGTGTCTTCTAAGATTGACATACCATAACAGATGGTCATCTGAATAGGAAGCCATCTTTTTCTTTTGAAACAAATCAGTTGATGAGTGATAATGCTTTGAGTAATATTTTTCTTACCAAGCATTTCTGATTTTATTTATCTTACCTGGATCATAGACAGTAAGTATGAAAGCAGCATTGTTTTCTCAACAGCTACATTGCTGTTGAAATCCCTTACAGCTGCTTCCAAAGCTCAGTATACCCATAGGGCAGGCAGGGCACTCAGCAGATGGAGTGGTTTCCACCTAGGGAGGTGAGTAGATGCTGGAGGCAGTTTGAGATCCGAAATGTGAAGGGGCCAGATTTCCTGCTTTCTTGGTCTGCTGTTCATTTTAGTATGATACCACCTGAAAATCTGTGTAGGGAAGATTTGTTAATTCCGAATCATTGCTGAATGCCAGCCTTGCCCCAGGTTTGTACTAGGATGCTGGGAATACGAAGATGAATAAACACCCCCGTCCCCAAAGATCTCTGTGTAGTAGGAAGACTGACATAAAACATGATTTTAACACCCTGTGATGAAGGTAGGCGTAAAGATACATGGCACCAGAAGAGGGCTCCTAAGCCAGGCTGGGAGTTTGGAAGATGAGGGGTAATCAGGAAAGGCTTCCTGGAGGAGGTGACTCTCAAGCTGGGTCTTAAGGAATGTAAAAATTACGAATTTTTGTAAAGGCATTGAGGGCCTAATTCAGGTTGTGAGATGAGATGTGAGACCACTGGGTAGGATAAGTGCTCTGCTGAGGCTGAAAATGATGAACATGTGGCCATCCCAGTTTGCATGTTTGTGGTTTTTTCCAGCATCACCTGTGTATGACATTGAAAGTAATTCTTCTAATACTCAAAGTCATATTTCACTGTTAATATCCTTTATCATGGGATCTTAAAGCTACAAATAACTATTTTATAGTTAAGGTTTAACATAAATAATAAGCCAAATTTTTTTAAAGTTTTAAAAATTGTTTGTATTGAGGTATAATTTGCATATAATAAAATGCAGGTTTTAGGTGTACACTTGAAGCCTGACAAATACATACACTTGAGTAACTACTACACCAACTGAGACAGAGAACATTTTCTGTCCCCTACAGAGTTTCCTCATGTCCCTTTGTAGTCCGTCTCCACCACCCCAGAGCAAGCACTGACTTCACTTGCGTCGCCGTAGATTAGCTTTTCCTGATCCCCAGCTTCATATAAATGGAGTTGTATCTGCCTCCCTGTGCTCAGCCTGATGTCCGTGAGACCCCTCTGTTGGAGCGTGCATCAGCAGTCCGCTCATTTCTGTTGCTGAGAAGTATTTCCTTGTGTGGATGCAGCAGTTTGTTTAGCCATTTACTTATCATTTTATGTTGGGTTTACTTGTTTTTGGCTCTTACGAATAAAGCTGTTACGAAATTTGTGTACAAGTCGTTATGGACATACTTTTTCAGTTTTCTTGGGTAATTATAAATAGCATGTCTGGGTCATAGGTGTCTGTTTATCTGTCAAAAGAAGCTGCCAGATAGTTTTCCACAGTGGCTGTACCATATGTGTTCCCATCAGTAACAGAGAAAAGCAGCAACTGCTTCACTTTGACCAAACTTGGTGTTTATTGTCTTTTTAATCTTAGCTCTTTTACTTGATGTTCATTGTGGTTTTAATTTGGATTTCCCTAATGAGTGATGATGCTGAGCATCTCTTCATGAGCTTATTCAACATTTGTTTATCTTCTGTTGTGAAGTATCTGTGTCTTACTAGTTTCAAAATTAGGTTATCTATCTTACTAAGTTATGAAGAGTTCAGCATAAATCCTAGAATCAAAAATTTGGAACATTTTGAAAAGCTGATATTAGTATTCCTTTGTCTGTTGTTTGTAGTACAGATGGGTAAAAAAACCACTGTCTCTTTAGCCTTTTTTTTTTTTTTAATGAGTCTATTTATAGCTGGAATTTTCTGGGTTTTTTTTTGAGGGCAGTCATGCATGGAGTCAAAACATTTATAGCATTAAAGTATCCCCACCTGGTGGCCAAAGAGTAACACTTTATATACTGTTAACGGGTAATGTTTGGTGTGTGTGTAAACACATATATAGTGATTTATAGTAAATGTATATAATGTGAATAATACATAAAATATATACATAAATACATATATGTAAAGCATTATAATGTAGTGAACAATTCATGAACCTACTACCTGACTGCAGAACCAAATACTTCTAATACTGTTGAAACTACCTGCCTGTTCTTCAGTCCTAGCCCTCAGTCTCCCATAAGCCACGTTACCCAGAAAACCCTTTCTAACTTCCATCATTTATACTTCTGATAATTGTGATCAGTAGTAGATCAGATCATTTGGAATTGCCAGTCAGACTTTTGGTGTGCTAACACATACTGTGACCCTATAATTCACTTTGACATTGCATTTTGGTACAATATTAATGTTCTATATTAATTTAGGATTTTTTTAAATGGAAGGGAAGAATAAGAACAGGTTCAGGCATTTAATTTTCATATTCTCCAAAATAGATTTGTCAGTTTGAGTAAGGTAAGCTTAGTAAAGCTGCTAATAATATGCAAATACAGCTTACAGGCACAACTTCACAGCAGATCCCTACTCTGTAATGTCAGAGGAGACCACACTGAATGGGTGATTTTATTTTCTTTTAATTTTTATTTTGAATATCATGTTCAATGAAGAAAATCTATTAAGGCAATATAGCATAGTGGTAAAAGCAGAGGTAAGATATTAAGAACTTTTGAGGTGCATTTAAGTATACACCACATGCCAGCTGCCATTTTTATTGAGGTAATCTTACCATTGCCAATTCAGAGCGAGACTACAGCTGAGTAAGAATGAAACTGCTGTTTCTATTTAGACAACTAAAATGTGTTTTGATTTAGAAATAGCCATTTAATTTCCAACTTATCTGTGTCTTAATTTCAACATCTATAAGTTAATTTTCTTATCGAGTTGTGAGAATTAACAAGAAAGTGCGTGTGTGTGTTTAAGAGAGAGAGGGAAGTGTTGAGAACAGGAACAGTGCCTGGCAGAGCAGGGGCTGCACCAGTCATAGGTGCGCATGGACAGTCAGTAAAGTGTGAGACTGCAACATACTGCGTTCCATAGTTTCGGAAATAGATGCACCTTTTTTTTAAACCTTTTTAGTTATAATTACATCTCAATTTTAGGATGCCTTGTTCTTCCTGAAGGATTTTTTCACAAGTCTTTCTACAGAAGTAGAGCTTCTCATGACTCCAGATCCAGAAGGTATTAAATATATATATTTTGAAAAACTCTTTAACAAGTACTTGGATTGATTTTGATTGTTGTGAGACCCTTTTGAGAATGTACTTACAAATCTTTATTCTCATTTATATAAATCTGTCCTGTGCTTATTTTTGCTAAGTTGTGCAAATGTAGTTTATGTAGTTTACAGTGCTCCCCCCTCATCCTCAGGAGAGAACGTTCCAAGACCCCCATGTGGGTGCGTGAAACAGCACGTGGTGCCAGACCCTAAATGTACTAAGTACATGCCTATGATTAAGTTCAGTTTATAAATTAGGCACAGTAAGAGATTAACAATAATAACTAATAATAAAATAGGACAATTAGAACAATATACTGTACTAAAAGTTAGGTTAGGGTTAGGTCTTTTCTCTTTCACTCTCAGAATATATTGTACAAATTTAATGCCTTTTCCATCTTAACTAAACACGTAACATGCACTGTGGCTGTAACTTTTGCAGTTAAGGTACGACAGCAAAATGAGCACAAATTTCTTTTTTCCTTCATCACAGTTTTATAGAAGGTTCATTCTTGCTATAGATCTTAGCAGCCTTAGCATACGATATTTTTCCTTATTAAGTCAAGAACCTTGACCTTTCAGTTAAAGGAAGCATGTTGCAGCTTCTCTTTGGTGTATCTGAAGTGCCAGTGTCACTGTTGTTGTGCTCTGGGGCCGTTATTAAGTGAAATAAGAGTTACTTGACACAAGCACTGTGATGCCGCAGCAGTCCATCTGATAACCGAGACGACCACCAAGTGACTCACGGGCGGGACACGCTGGACAGAGGGATGAATCACATTCCGGTGGGATAGAGTGTGATGGTGCAAGATTTCATTGTGCTACTCAGAGTGGCACACAGTTTAAAGCTTATGAATTGTTTATTTCTGGAATTTTCCATTTCATATTTTTGGGCTGCAGTTGTCCTTGGACAGTGAAACTGAGGATAAAGGGAGGCGACTCTGGTCATTTACAAGGTGAAAGTTTTCTCTGTAGCAGTGGTTGTATTTATTAAATAAAATGTAGCAAAACAAATGTGGACTGATTTAAATCATTGCTTTAAGAAGGCATACCTAATTTTTCAGATGTGCCCATTACATTTTCAGTTAAAAAGTCTCCTGGAGCTGATGTCACCTGCAGTTTGCCAAGGCATTTAAGCACCTCAAAGGAGCCAAATCTACTTGTTTCTTTCCCTGGGCCAAAGCAGCCCTCCCTACACGACAGTGCCAACTCCGTGCACATGGTTAACGGGGAAGAAGAGAAGGACTTCTCAGCTGAAGAAGCGTCGTTCAGTGATCAGCCTGTGTTTTTCAGGTAAGTCATTTAATTTTGATAATAAATGAAGTTATTTTAGAGTGTAAGTTTTAGAGTTAAGGTTGTTCTTTAATGTGTTTGTGTCTCGGTAACCATGAGGTGATGTCAGCTTTCCTTCGCACTGCAAGTAATCAACTCAGTGTCCTTAGTTACGTGTGGGCCCCCCTCCTGCCAGCTCTCCTCCACACACAGCAGCCCTGGCGCGGGGTTCGTCTGTCTGCTGATGCTGCAGCAGGAATGTTCTCTTCCTCCTCCTGTCCCTCTCCTCTGGTCCCGGTCCCGGCCCGTGTGTCTCTCCTCACAGTGATGCTGTCCTTTTCCTTCTTCCCACACAGCTCGTCCTCGGCGGTCCTCCCTTCCCCGTGATGGGAACTTGCTGTCTGGTTTTCTCTCCCCTTCCCTGTCACTGCTATGTCTTTCCTGACCCTTCGCTCCCTGGCTGAGGTGGCACTGTCAGGGAACCCAGGTCCCCTGTGCTGCTGCTGTCTGCTGGGACCACAGCCCAGCCACTTGGCTAGCTGGTGTGTGTTGGCATTTATGTCTCGTTTCCAGGCCCATTCGTTCTTCCCGTCTTCTTTCTTTCCCAGCCCTCAGTGGTCGGGATGGAGCCTTGGCTCCATTGAGAGGGGAGAGGTTGAAGATCAAAACCACCTGTGCTGTGGGGACAGTTAGCTCTCCCTGCTCTTCTGTGCTCTCCTCCCTGTGACATCAGTGGTCCCCACATTTTGTCTTTCTAAGTTCTGAGGTTAGACTTTAGATATAGCTCAAAGTGGGCAGTATAATTATTTTAAAGTGTTTTCATGTTTTAAATATCTTATATGTTGAACAAATGAATTTGTATGTAATTTCAACTATTAGTAATTTTGAATATAAATAACTCCTCTCCTTTATCTTCAGAGAATTTAGATTCACATCAGAAGTTCCTATTCGACTTGATTATCACGGCAAACACGTATCGATGGATCAGGTCTGGAAACTTTGCACAAATACACTCTACAAAATTACCTCATTTGATTTTCTAGTGGACTCAATTTTTTAAAAACTTTTTTCTGTCATATTTTGTATGTTTGAAATGAAGTGCAAGATTTTTAAATTTGATTCTGTTTTTAAAGTAAATATAATTTATTTAAGAATCCATGAGTAAAATCTGATATAAATTGGATCATATAAAATACATCTGTTTTTTTGCTGCAAATATTTTAAGTCTTTTAGCTTCATTAGTGAATATCACTTTGACATTCCTAAATAACAACTATTTTAACTGTTGAGTGTCTCAATTTACAGATTCATTTGGCCTTTTTTTTTCTTTCCAATTTTAAAGGGTACGTTAGCTGGGATTTTGATTGGTCTGGCCCAGTTAAACTGCTCTGAACTGAAGCTGAAGAGGCTTTTCTATCGGCATGGGTAAGTTGACTTATTATATGAGACTTTAAGGTGTAGTTACAACAGTTACTTGACAGCAAATTAGAAATGAGTTTTCTTAGCAGGCATACATAATTTAATTATTTTATAGTATTATTTAGAGAAACCTCATTTTAGGGATTTTTACTGGTTAGGAGCTAATTTTTTTTCTGAGAGAAGTAGTTTGGGCAGAGTAGTAGTTTTCAAAAAACAGCTATAGTTAGGATTTTTTATAATTTCCCAAATTATAAATTTGCTTAGTTAGTGAAAAGACTGGAAGTTCATGAGGTAATGGTTCTTAATAGCTGAGAACTATGTGGCAATTTATAGACATTGAGTTAATCTTCTGCCAGCGCTTTAGATGTTTAAGAACTAAGAACAGTAGAAAAGCACATTTATATATGTTACCTAAGCCTTGTAGAAATTATTAGCATTACAGTTGGGTTATATATATGTGTGTGTTTGCTTAGGTATATATGTATATATTTAAATGGAAAATCTATAAAATTTTGTCCTTGTAATTTGTACATTTTATTTTGTCTTAAATAAAAAAATCTCCTAAACCTACACATTTTGTTCTCCTTCCTCTATACTAATAGTCATTTGCTCTAGTTTGCTAGGTGTTGACAAATTATTCTCATATGCAATCACCGAATGGCTTACTGACATCAAGAAGAACCAGCTGCCGGGAATCCTGGGGGGTGTTGGGCCTATGCATTCACTAGTACAGCTGGGTGAGTTTTCTTTTTCAATTAGAGGATAACTTATTTTGCATCATCAGTGATTCTTAACCCAATTGGGGTTATGGATGCCTTTGACAGGCTATGTGAGAACCATCTTTTTAGGAAACCTACTTGTTAGTCATACACACAAAAATTTGCCTCTCATTTTAGGGGTTAAAAACCCAAGGTAGAATGATGGCAGAGATCCGAGCTCCAGCGCTCCTGCTGATTTCTGTGTGTTGACTGCTGTTCTAGTGCAAGGCCTCAAGGACTTGGTCTGGTTACCGATCGAGCAGTACCGGAAGGATGGTCGCATCGTCAGAGGATTTCAGAGAGGCGCTGCCTCCTTTGGCACCTCGACAGCGATGGCTGCTCTAGAACTCACAAACAGGATGGTGCAGACCATACAGGTATCTGTCCATAGACCACCTTGATCTGTACAAAGAGGAAGAGCCACTGTAAACAGGTTATTTTACTTTTAAAATGGCACTGTGAAAACATACAAAATGTCAAGAATAGATATTTTATTTGGTTTAATATGGTTTTAATATCAATTTTTTGTTTTGCTTAGCTGTGTAGTGTTAAATAATTAGTAGAATAAAGCACTGCAATATGGTGTCAAATTTGTTTGCCTGTTTTAGGTAAATTACAACTACTAAGTTAGCTGAGGATTTATTTCACACATTGATAGGAAGAGATCATAGCTGAATGTGAAGAAGGCATTACAGATCAATAGTAGTCATATTAAGGTTTGTTATATTCAGAATTAAGCTCCAGTTGACCTTCTGCAGTTGTCCACAGGCCATGCCTTCTTGTCTCACCTGGCAACACGCAGAGTGTTCTCAGAGGACAGAGGAGGGACTGAAAAACTCAGCTCAATCTGGATATTTGTTATTCATGTATACTTTCACATTCTTGTTGTAAAAGTGACACATTCTTGTTGGAAGGAACTCTGATGCTGCAGCTGCAGAAGTGCCTGTCTCAAGGTGTGTGAGTTCCTCTGCCCTCCCTCACTGCCTGGAGGAAGTGCACTGTTGGAGCATCACTCTCCTAGACTTTCTTCTTTTTTCTTTTTAATTGTACTTTTTTAAAATTGAAGTATAGCCAGTTTACAATGTTGAAAAAGAATATGAAAACGAATATATGTATATTCATGTATGACTGAAGCATTGTGCTGTACACCAGAAATGGACACATTGTAAACAGACTTTGTTCTGATTCAGTTTCTACTTTCTATTAAAATGATTCAGGCAGCGGCAGAGACTGCTTATGACATGGTGTCTCCTGGTACCCTTTCTATTGAGCCCAAGAAGATCAAGAGGTTCCCTCATCACCGGTTAGCCCACCAGCCAGTGGACCTGAGGGAAGGCGTGGCCAAGGCCTACAGTGTGGTGAAGGAGGTGAGTGAGCACCTGAGGGGATGGACCAGAACCAGGCTGCCTGCCTCCCTGGTGTTCATCTAAAGGGCGCTGGTGCTGGGGGTTTGTTCTGAAGAAACCCCGGGGCTGGATCTGGAACTGCGATCAACGGCGAGTATGAGGTAAGGCAGGGGGCTGCACTGCGACCTGCAGGCTCACAGGAAGGGTCGTGATCTAGCAGCAGACCCTTTCCACGCAAAAGCAAGCAAGGGGTGATAGACATGGATGCCATGAACTCACCCATGCATTTAACACATGTATTTTGCTGTATTTCCCTCAGATTTGTTTAAAAGATACAATTTTTCAGGTGAATCACAAGCCCTGATCCAATTCCTGTGCCTTCACTGCATGTTTTTATAGTTTCATATAGGTATGCATTCATTAGCAAATACTGTTGTTTATATTTTAAAGGTTAACATAAATGGTATCATATGTATCGTTTTGTAACTTTCGTCTTTCAGGATGTATCCATGCTGATATCTGTAAGTCTAAACTACTTTATAGTGTTTCATTGCATGAATATAGCATAATTTATTTATTTTCCTGTTGGTGGACAATTTCCATTTTTTTCCTCTAAGATACTGCTGTTGGAATGTCCGCAGAAATGTCCCTTTGTTCATATGTGCAAGAAGTTGTTAAGGGTGGAATTGACAGTTTGTAACTATTTGAATCTTGACATTTAAGCATTGCCAAATGGTCATTTAGTTGTACCAGGGAACCCTGGTTCTTAGTGGCCCTTGACAGAGGAAGTGTGCGGCCCCCGCTCACGTGTTCTCGGGTCGCGGTGCTCAGTGGTGGTGGCGAGGGAAGCACTGGTTATCTGGGATTAGTTCATGAACACTTAGCGCCTGCTAAGCTGTGCCAGGCCCTTAGGTGCATTATTTCATTTAATTCTAACAGTCACTGCAGTGTTTTCATTCCCCATTTAAAACCCTTGCCTAAGGTCACACAGCTAAGTGATGGAGCTGAGATTTGAATTTACTTGGTGGTGTTAATCATTACAGTATGATAAACCGCTACCTGTTTACTGTTTGTGGGCTGGGAGTGGGGAGGATGATGACGGGGACAAATGTATGAATCGTAAGCATTTTCTTTATTGTCACAGTTTTGCTTACCAACTGTTACTTTGTAGACTGTTTTAGAAATGGCACCTGTTCTTTCAGGGTAAGCGCTACTTTTCTCCTCACTGTGGTGGTACGTCTTTGCCTGCCACGCTGGTAGCAGTGTACTCCTGTTAGGCTGTCAAAGTGATGGCTAGATTCTGCATCAGGACAGGGTTCCTTGATTTCCCTGGAGCGCCCGGAGTTCTTTGCACTGTGCCTTCACTGAAGTAGTCACAGTGCAGCAGGGCCTCGTGCCCCTGGCGGGGTCTTGAGTTAGACGAATGGTAGAGACTTGAAAGTCACGGTGAAGTTCACCACTTTGGCTTGACCTGCCCATTTACATATTCAGCTTTGAAGCTCAGCAGTCATGATTATTTTAATGTTACACAGTGATAAGAAAGATGAAAAGTGCTACAGAAGCTTTATTTCTAATTATTAAACATGTTCCTGCTTTATGTTCTCAGGATTTTCTCTATTTAATCCAATAGAATGTTCCATTTAACCTTTTCTCTTAATTGAATGTTCCACAGTTGTCTTTTCTAGCATGTAGCCAGTAATTTAAAAGAAATTAAATTGTTTTCTGGAGCTTAGTAGAATTAGGTTTTCTTGTTACAGTTGAGTCACAGAAGCTATCACCATATTCATTTAGTGATTTTATTTATTCAGGAAGTTTTTGGCTAAGTTTGATTTAACTACAGTGATTAATTGTGCCAGAAAAGCTACCCCTGGATTATTAACTATTTCTGTAAGCTTCCCTGTGTGAAATTGTAATGTAGCTGCATTTTCTGCACACAAGTGCCACAACAGAATACTACGTCATCATAATTGCGTCTTACTTTCCCTTATAATTAGAATTCTGTCATAAAAATAATTATCCTGAGTTATTTCCAAAGTGCATTTCTGTTTTGTTTTGTCTAGTTACAAGTCTAGTGTTTATTAACTCTCCTGAAGTGTGTATTAAGGGATCATTTAGAGAGTTTTCTGAGCAGTAAGTTTCTCTTCCCTCCCCTCTTTCAGGGAATTACAGACACTGCTCAGACCATTTATGAGACCGCAGCTCGGGAACACGAGAGCAGAGGGGTCACCGGCGCCGTGGGCGAGGTCCTGCGCCAGATTCCCCCGGCCGTGGTGAAGCCGCTGATCGTTGCCACAGAAGCAACATCAAACGTCTTGGGCGGCATGAGGAACCAGATTAGACCAGACGTTCGGCAAGACGAATCCCAGAAGTGGCGCCACAGTGAAGACTGACGTTCAGCGGCGGCCCTGGACGGGGATGACGAGGGCGGACAGGAGGAGCGGAGCGTCCCGTGGGCGGCTCCGGAGGGGACTCGTTTAATTTTATTGTGCTCATCTCAGGAACAACACCATTTCTTAGTTAAATAATTTAATATCAAAACAACATGCAACCAAAAACTTTTGACATTATAGGGCTAGTTTGGGACTTGCCTGTAGAAATGTTGGTGCCTGGTGTCAAAAGTCCATAAAGCATTTTCTGCCAAGTTAGTGGAATGCTTGCTTTTGTTAAAGTGACTGTAATTTTCCGTATTGCAGACAAGCTATCATTGGAAACCTTTTAGAGTACAGAGTGCTGAAAAACATTTGAGCACTTTGAAAGCACTATTTATGTTGCTCCAAGGAGTTGATTCTTCTCCAGGTTTAAAAAGAATCACAGCTTCAGAACTTTCATTGACAATGAGAGACAGAAGCCACAGGGAAAATAAAGCAAATAGGATTTTCAATATAAGTATCAGTGAGGAAAAAATAACGTAGTCTGTGGGATTTAGTGTTCACGCACTTGAAAACAACATCGTTTCCATTTACTCAGAAAACCCTTCTCTGGGCGTTTGAGAACGTGAATGTCGCAGACTTGTTCTGTTGTGTTGCACTTTATCCTGTGTGTGTGTGTGTCTGTGTGTGTGCGTGCGAATTAATACAAGTCATGTGCTATATTCTGTACGTAGTTTACAGAGTTACACAAAATATAAGGAGGAGTTAGTCTGAAGGTTTTTGCAAAGGAAGGTAACTCAAATGTAATAACTTCATTTATTCTAAGTGTAAATGAAAATGTGCATTCTATAATGAACTGGGGCCCATGTGATTGTTTATATGTTCAGGTTTTGGGAGGTATAATGCAAGCTTATTAGGAATGTGTGGGAAGGGAGATTGGAAGTGGTTTTTACTCTTTTGAAATTAACCAGAAATCCTCCAGATACGCCCTAGTCAGCTATTTCAAAGTACCGTTTTTACTTGGTTAACAGTGTACGTTTTGATAACCTGTCAGGAATGAATAAACTATTTTTATTTAAAGGTAAAATTGTTTTATGCTTCCATGAATATTTTGCTTTTCTTAGAGCATATTCATAGATGCAACACTATGATTTATTCCAAGATCCTTGGGAAAACTTTCTCAAAATTGGTTTTGGTTAATAACAGGTAAATCATTACCTGGGAATTAGGGGGAAGTTGTCCTCAAGAACTCCATTTCTGACGTTACATTAGCAGAAAGCAAATGTAGGATTTTGTATCCACTGTAAAGTTGCATGATGTGAATTCTCATTTTCTAGAAGTTGGGGTGAATTTGGGTTTCAGAACTACATTTCCGCTTGGGTTTTGGAAAATGACGTTGAATCAGTTTCATCCTCTCAACTTCCCTAAATAAGAAAGCAATGTAAACCAAAAATCTGAACATTTAAAATCTTAAAATTTACGTTAAATAGCATTTAATTTTATTTTGTTCCCTTTTTACTGCTGAAAAATTTAAAAGGACAGTACTCAGAAAACCACCTGTTTAAGTATCACAGGATATCATTGCCATTACTCTGCCCCAGGTAGATGGCATCCACGTGGGACATGATCCTGAGTGAACACTGGCCATGGCTGTTTATTATCACATGGAGCTTCAGCCTGCTTCTGGGCACTTTCCGAGCACCCTCGTGTCAGCCCCCGTGTGCTCCATCTTCCGTCGTGTTGGAACAGGCTGTGTGTGTTTTCTGTGATGATTAACCAAACGAAAAAACACTTGCTCAGATTTAAAAATATAAAATCTCTTTACCTTTTAAATATTTTTCCATTGTTATACTAATTATTTTAATTCAGTTAGATATAGGGAGAAATAGTCATCCTCTTTGCACTCTGAGTAACAAATGGACCCATCTTTTGACAAATTAGGTTTGACAAATCCCACTTAAACGTGTCTTTATAACGTAGTCTCCATGGTTCTCTCTGTTCCGCTCTCCGGCTCCTGCTTGTGATAGAATCCATGTTTGGGAACAGAAACCTGTGTCTCAGATTCAGTGTCAGTTTAACCAAGATGCTCTTTGCTTGAGATGTTTACATAGAAGACCTGTCTTTGAACGCTTAGACATTGTTAAGTATCCGTAATTTTTTTCTTTTTTAATAGTGTCTCTTCAAACTTTGATGTCACAATGACACAGTGAAGAATGTTGGGCAGGACCCTTGTGTGGCCAGATCAGTTACCAAGCGGATAACTTTGCCAAGATGTTCGATTTCTCTAAGCCTGTGTCCCTCTCTGTAATCAAAGGGGTTTCTTATGACAAGACTCAGCAGAGACTTTCGGGTGATGAGAGCGAGCCTGTGTGTGAATGATGGTGTGGGACGTAATGCTCGTTTGAGGGCCCCAGGCCTGTGACACCTCGGACGAGTGGCAGTGTCGAACAAGAACACTGGTCACATCACACCTGCAGTCCCCACGGCCCCCAGATCTCAGACCTCTTAGAGCGATGCGTTTCTGAACGGCCACAGTGCCTTTGCGGCTGACGTGAGAATGGAGCAGGCTGAGCGTGTCCGCGTGTGGCTGCACTGAGTCGGCATGGGTGTCTGCCCAAGGGGTCCAAGTACGCGAGCCTGATCGAGGTGCAGCACTGAGTTTCAGAACTCGCAGTGTCCAGACCACCTCGCGTCACAGAGGCCGTGGCCACGGCGATGTCCCCCCTTGAGGGCTGATTTGGCTCCCCCAGTTTCCGTCCTGTCTGTCCACAGGTTGCTTTTACTTACAAGCAAAATTTCCACTCGACATTGGCCTTTTAGGATAGGGAGGGTGCAATGTTGCTTTTTTTTTCTAGGCATCATGGTGTGGACTTTCATTTTAGTAAAGCTTGGTTGCAGTTTGGATTCCCACTTAAGCATATTTAACATCAATATTTTTATGATGTAAAATTCACTATAAGAACAAAAATCTTTCCAAATAGCAGTGTGCCTAAAAAGACGAAAAACCAGTGTCTCCTGCCTCCTGCTCTGTGTCGCTTTTAAATGCTATTGAAATAGTTCCAGCTTTTAAGGGAATTACTTTTTAACCATCTCCTTTAAACCTGCGTTCTGTAGGCTTGGTGCCTTTGTTCAGTTTCAAAACAGAACCACCATGCCTGCTCCTGCTGGGGCCGCTCGCCGCCCTTGGGTGCTGTTTGATGTAGGTTCTGCATGTGTGGACTCTCACCAGAGAGGAGAGATAGCAAGCAGAGTGGAAGTTACGTAGTTTTAAGTGAGGAATCCACACTTGCACTAGACAGTTTCAGGATTAACAACGAATGGTCTTAACGTTCATTTAAATTTTGTATATGTGAGAAGCTGCGTGACTAGGCTTAAGAGAAATCATTTAACTGCTTCAGTTTTCTTATACCTGCATTGGTGTAAATCCTCAGCATTATGGGGAGTGGGGCAGGATTTAGTGAGTCGTGGTGAGCAGTCTTATTCCCTGTTTCCCTTCATATCTCTTGATCTACTTAAGACATTAGAGAAAATGTCTATAAAGTTCTTGAACTTTCTTGAAAATAAGGGACTATGCAAAACACAGAGTGATACTCTGTATCTGCAAATGCATCAACTGGACATACCAACTGGTATCAAATAGAATAAATCAAATAGAAATTTGTAAGTCTTAGGTTAGAAAGGAGGGTTATCTGTATAGTGTATGAATAAAGATGGGAAATTTGTTTTCCTTTTTTTCATTACCAAGAAACCTTATTTCTGTTTACTGAAAGATACAGTCAGCCTCTTCAGTAGGAATAATGGAGTGCTTTAATGCCAATTTATTTTTATCTCAATATTTTCGGGATCATGCTAGGCATACTGCTCCCTTGAAAAGACTATATGCACAGTTGCAAGCCAGCCAGTTTAATCAGACGTACTTTCCTTTCATCATAGTGTCTGCAAATCAGAGACAGAGAAGGCATTCTAACATACCACGGTAGACTTTTGGGGGGATGAGAAATTTCAGTGAGTTTCAACAATGCATGTCTTGAAATGTCAGCAGTTTTAAAACACAGGTTTTAGAGAGAAATTTTTGGCTCCTATAACAAGCGTTGGCCCTTTGGTTTCGAGCGTGGTGCTTCATAGTAAGCACCAGAATGCCATCTGATGTATTTCAAGATTGTAAATGTGACGTTGGCTGACTCCATGACATCTCTGGGGGATTGAAAGAGCAGCCCTTTCCTTTAAAAAATAAGTTTACTTTGCTGTTTCACATGTATTTTGTATATATGAAATGGCAGCTTCCAGTTTCTCGTTGGATTTGCCATAACATTGTTTGTATAACCCGTCAGTCACACAGGTCTGTTTGCCTTTTCACTGCGGAATCTGGTAGGGGCGCCGAGTTCAGCTCCCATGTTAATCCATCCTGATTTATCGCAGACATTGGACTGATCACACCGCTGAAGAAACATACATTGTCTGTGTTCATTACTGTTGCTAAGGTTCCTAACTGAAGTAATTACAGGTGTGAATACTTTAAGAATACTGACGCTGTATGAGTATTTTTGTGGAAATGTTAACTTGTTAGTGTGACTATTTAAAATATTATGAAATTAAGAATACTCGAAGAAAATTAAAACATTTACTCTTTGGAGTTTGCTTTAACCACTATTGTCTTTTGCCAAGAACTGCTCCTAAAGCCTGTGTAAAATGCTTTTTGGGGTGGAGGGTAGATCTGTGTCAGATCCTGTTCCTGGGAAATGGTGTCCCTATGTTCCTGGTACTTCTAATAGCAAATCTTGTATCTCCCTGCTACCAATTTCTGAGACACATAGGGCACATAATGTTAAAATTTGCCACTCCTTCCCTTTTTGGGAATACTGTTCACTGTATTAACACATCTTGTAGTTTTGGTCTTAGGGACCTAGATAAATACTTGATAAACCTGTTCTTTTTGGAGAATTATTTTTACTTATAAAAGGAATATTTAAAAGCAATACTTAAAGAATAATGGTACTTTAGAAGAAGTTTTGATGTGACAGACGTCACTCTATAACCATCCACTTTGAGCAACCAGAGAAAAGTCACAAGTCACAACACACTTGCACACGCCTCCTGTGAGAGCGAGGGAAGGGAAGCTCCGTGAGCGGCTTGCTGTGTGCCAGGCATCAGAGTGTGTGCTTTACCTGAACTCATGGCCCCTCTGAGCAGTGACCGCTGGAGTCCCTGTTTTCCAAAGGATGAGACTGAGGTTCAGAGAGGAAAGTGCTCAGGGTCACACGGTTTGACTCCCGAAGCCCGTGCTCATTCTAGGACTTCATTTAAGAGGAACTCACGCAGTTGTCTAACTATGCGAAAACTCATCACTAGTTAGGAAACCAGGAAAGGAATTCTGCCAGAAGACTGAGGTTAGAGGCTCTTAGAACGCTTGACCCCGACAGACCTGCTCGAGACCCTGCATCGCAGGCATCTCAGCTCCCCCCGCCGGGCTCCGCCCCTCCGGTCAACGACTTCTGCCCAAGCCAGACAAACAGGGCTTCGAGCCACCTGAAGAATTTTTTTTTTTAAATGCTGAAGCTCAGGCCCTACCCAACACCAATTAAATGAAAGTCTGGGAAGGGGGTTAAATCAGAGCCTCTCCACTTCAGCTGTCTTGCCCTCCGGGGCTGGGTGAGTCCCTGCTGCGGGGCTGCCCTGCGCACCGTAGGCTGTTCAGCAGCATCCTTGGTGAGTGTGAGTAGCACCCCCGCCCCCACTCGAGCAAACCAGAAGTGTCTCCAGACGTGGCCCAATGTCCTCTGGACAGCAAAGCCTCCGCGGTGCCAGCCACTGGGCTGAAAGCGCCGCTGGTGAAAGGCATGTGCAGCCTGGAGCGAGAACAGCGCCCAAGAGCCTCCCCACATTCCTTTCTAGAATGTTCTGCCTGGTTCCTCCTTATCTCAGCGTGAAGTTTAACATTTTCAGACAGGCCCAGCCTCCTTACCCACTTCTTTACTCTCCACTCTCTAGTACACACTGCTTAAAACAAACGTTGGGGCCCAAGACATTTGTTGAGTATTCACGATGTGACTCCTACATTGTTCAGCACTCAACAACATGGCCTTCACATTCAGTACCAGCCAGGGCCTGGCAGGAGGCAGACGGCCCCGCGGGGACTGAGGGAGGTGTTAAGAAAGGGACTTGGCAGGGGCAGGCAGGGGCGAGGAGATCCACAGGCGCCCCCCAGGAGCTGACTCTGGGTCACAGAGAGACTCGGTCCCTCTTTCGTTAGGCTCCGGGGCTGCCCGGAGCCTCAGCTCTGTGATCTATGGTGGTGACTCTCCTCTGCCTGCTCTCCTTGGCGACAGGAACACAGGGCGCCTCTCCTTCCCCAACCCCATCCCCATCCCCATCCCATTTATCAGGAGACTGAAGCAACACTAAGGCTCATGCAGGCCTGAAGGGAGAAAGGGAGAGAGTGATTCACCCAAGCTCTCGCTGAAGGAGAGGCTGCCTGAGTGCAGCTGTGACCTTAGGGAGAGCCAGGTGGCCAGAGGGGCCAGAGGACCACATCCTCCCTTGCGCTTCTGCCCTCCCAGCTCCTGCTGGAGCACCCCTTAGGATGAACCTAACTTCCTACAGCATCTCAGCCTCAGCCCCCAGGGCAGAGAGCTCGACGAAGAGCAGAAGGGGGGAGAGGATGTGGAGGGGCAGACACAAGTTCTCCAGCACTCGGACATCATTTGCATTTGTGCCATTGTCATCATTCCGACAACGCTGAGGCTTAGGATAAGTGACCTGCCCAAAGACATGCAGTTAAGGAACACTAGTCACGAGTGACAGATGAACCCCCGAATCCCAGCAGCGTAACAAAAAGTGCATTTCTCATTACGTCAAGTCCACTCAGTGTTCCTGAGGATCTGGCAGCTCTGCTCTAAATGGTGATGGAGGAACCCAGGCTCCTTCCAACTTGAGGCTCCACCTCCTCCTTCAAAGTCTGCCTCTTGGGAGAGAGAGGACGGCTTAGTGCTAGAGACTCTCGCCCACATTCCATTGGCCAGAATTCTGTCACATGCTCACACCCAGCTTCGAGGGAACCTGGGTAAGGTAGTCTTGCTGCGTGCCTAGGCAGGAAGGAAACTGGGGTTGGTGGGCACCCAGCCGGACTCTGCTACCTGCAGCTCCTGATTTAGAATTTACTCCAGGATGTCTGACTCCAGACCCATGCTCATAGCATATATTCTATTGGAAGTGCAATTAGTTATACTCTAAGTTAATATGATACTATCACAGTTGAATATTTTTTTCCTTCTTGTTTGTTTATATTCCTGAAAGCAGTTCCTTACCAAGCAAACAAATTAAATTCAACAAACACTTGTTGGATAATGAGGCAGGAAGGTATAATGTAGTGGTCCTCAAAACTTGTCTGTGTATTGGAATCACCCGAGTATCTTTTAAAAATTCCAAAACCCAGGCCATACCCAAGACCAATTAAATCATAATTTAATGGATTAAATGTATTTTTGAAAAATGTTATTTATCATTTTTTAATTTTTGTCAGGGGGAGGTAATTAGGTTTACTTAATTTATTTCTAGAGGAAGTACTGGGGATTGAACCCAGGACCTTGCATATGCTAAACATGCACTCTGCCACTTGAGCTATACCCACTCCTCTTGAAGGTATATTTTTGAAATTCCCCGGGGGACTCTAATGTGCAGACAAGTTTGGGAACCACTGGTACAGTGGCTAAGAATATATGTTTTTGAGTCAGACTGCCTGGGTGTGAACCCAGATTCCACTGCTTGTTAGCTGTGCAGCCTTGGGGAAGTTGCTTAACCTTTCTGTGCTGCGGTTTCCTTCTCTATAAAATAGAGCTAGTAATAGGGTTGTTATGATGATTGCATGAGTTAATATATGCAAAGTGCTTAGAACAGTGTCTGACACGTATTAAGTACCATCTCTAATGTTAGATACTATTGTTACTGTTTCCTGAATGCCTGCTATGAGCAGTGCCCTGGGCCAGAGATGGAAGATTTGGTTCTTGCTTCTGAGGAACCCAAGACCCGGTGGCAATACATCAAACTCTAATACAAAACTGATTAGACACAGCTAATCATTCCAGCCATTTGTTTCTTATAAATGGAAATCAATTTGTTTTGCTTCTGAGAAATTGAGTGGCATTTTACAAAGCCTAGGAAAGGAGCAGAAACCACTCAGAGCAGTTTTAGAACTGGAGTTCATGATCTGGAAGGCAACATCTGGTCTTCTCTTTTACTGCCACCCAGACATCTGCTTCCCTGACAATAAACACAGACTCGGGGCAACCGTGCGAAAGCTGAGGGAGCCAGTTCCCTTTTTAGCCTGGGGTTCAGAATTGACTGGTTACGGGGAAATTTGACTTGAACGTTAAATCTTGGGTAGCATCTAGAAGTAAAAGTCAAGGAGGGTGCTGGAGGCAAAGTCTTTTGGGTTTTGCGTTAGCTGAGAAAAATGAACACTGGCACATCCTTACAGTAAGAATTTCTAAGGCTATGATAAGAGGGCAAAAACATTCTTTTAAGTTTAGATTTCATTGAGGTATAAAGGAAAACATGACTACTCAATGCCAAGTACTAATGTTGCTTTCGAAACGCTAATTGAATATTTTGTCTGCCCAGATGTGGCCCATTTACTTTTAGAGTGATGGAGACCTCAAGGGTATAACTCCAAAAACATTGAACATTTAGTAAAAGTGAAGCACAATGCACCCCTCCCCCAAAACTTCACTAATTAAAAATCAGTATCAATGTCATAGCTCCATAGTTAAAATTTCTCCTTTCATTTATAATAAACAATTCTTCTCCAAATAAACACCTCCCTCTCTTCTCCATTTCAGTTTAAACTAAATTTTTACGTCCTCCTCACCCCCTGTCTTCTTCAAAATACGATTTTCTTCGAAACTGTCCTTAATCCTTCACACCAGATTTCATTTTGAAAGCCACCTTCTTAGTCTTTTTGTCCTATTTGCTGAACTGGGGTTTCAGACAACTCTCTACCCCAAAGGTTGGCCTTGAGCAAGCCGCTTAACTTGGCTGCACCTCAGTGTCTCAGCGGTGTGCTTGCCTCTTGGAGATCTCACTACCAGGGGAAACACCAATGATACGTGACGCCCACTTAAAATTGGAGTGGCTGTTGTCAACTGCCCTCTTGTGGAAGTTGTACTTGCTGACATACCCACCAACAGGGCTCAAGAGAAACTGTTGCCTTTTCACATTTACATGTTTTGTTATGCTTTGTACCATATCCATTGTAACCCATTCAAGGACTTTGAAAATTTGTGCAGAATTCTGGGGAAAGAGCACTGCTCCTTTGACGCCAGCAGGGGGCGCCCGCCATCCTCCTCAGTGGGACTTCGGTTTTTAGCATCTGCCCCCTACAAAGCCCTGGCGGCACATCTGAGCCTGCGCAAATTCTGACCCCACACAGCGTGGGAAGCCTTTGGAAAAATCCCAGCTGTCTCAACCCTTGCACAAAGCTAGTTTGTAGCAGCTTCCTCTTAGTCAAGGACATGGCTTAAATTTAAAATAAAAATGTCATTTTATTTCACAATTCATTTCTCTTTGTAAATACTGGTTAGGGCAGTTAAAACACACCCGGCCCCTGTCTCAGTCCTGGAGGCTTGTGAAAGTCGCCCC